TAGTTAATTTGTATCTACGGAAGATCAAAAGTTGAAAACTTGTGTTACGTAACTGAAAAAAATATATGACGTAACGGCTAGGTTTCTAAGAAAAAAAAAAGAAATAAAGTAACTGTTACTTTAATTATTCCAGAACTTATCAATTTTAAAAGAAAAAAAAATTAATTTTTTAATTTCAGACAATGAAAATTTTAAAGTGTAATAATATCAATTAAAATCCCGCCGCTAAAAATTGGCGCGAATTTTGTTAAATACATTGACATCCATCAATTCACACTCACAAAACCGTTACCACGGTTGGAGATATCTCTTAAAAATTTTCTTAAAATGTAAGTAACTGTTCTTTCAAATTACATTAAGTAAGCATTAAATTTTCTAATTATCCTAAAAACGTCTGAAAAATTGATACTTAATTTTTAAAATATTTTACAATAATTGGTTTTGAATTTTTTTAATTTCTGAAAATGGCTGATCGGACCGATTTTCTAGTAAATTTAATTGACTAATAAAAACAAGATATTTGAATCAATTTTTTAACAGGCTAAAGGATTAAAAAATCTGAAAAAATATTCAAAAAATACTTTAGTCTTTCCTCTTAACAATAACTTAAACATTTAGACATAAAAAAATTGTTTTATCAATTTTCTGAGCTTTTTGTCTCGGGTATACGTTTTTAACGTGCTAAAGGGACATTCCTAGTGAATACATAATGCTTCATAGGAGCAGTGTCCACTTTTCAGCTTATAATTTGGGAAACCACAAAACATGCTTTTAAATAATAAGACTTGCAAGTGAATCAGTCACAAAAGAAAATGTGTGTGATATGCAATCCAAGACTATTTGAAACAGCAATATCCTCAATGCTTAGTTCTAGCAGACCTTTTTTTAATGGTGATAATTACTCATTGTTCTTTTATTTATCAATGCTCAATTCTATTAAGTGGTGCCATGTAATCCAAAGCTGTGATTGAATTGCTTGTCCATCACGAAGAGATCATAAATGGGTCAGATACCAATAAAGCCATTACCAGCCATCAACTTAGGGATTTAAAAAGTACTTGAAATTGTAATGTTTTCAATCTGTACACCATTCAAATTGCACGTGGCATATTAATGTGCACTAAGCAAAGCAGTTGATCATAATCACATGTTATGGTGGTTAATGATGACAATGAAGCATGACCTTGTTGATTGATTTTTATTTTTTTTCCAGGAGACTCTAATATCATACCTTAATTCTTAATCATTTCTTTTTCTCTAATCATTTATCCAATGCTCTAGGCATTAAACATTTGGATAAATGTTCAAACATATTAATTACTTTGAAATCTACTTAAGGTAATTCAAAGTTGAAAAGATGTAGATCTGTTACCACACATCTAGCTCAGTGTCAACATTCAAATTGTCCTTAACATTCACCTTCATATATTTTAAAATAAAAGAAAATTCTGCACATTGAATTTAAGTGTATCTATTCAAATGTAGCTTTCCTTTAGTGATTATTATATAATATTAAGTATAGCTTAAAACAGTCCCTAACAAATTAAATAAAAAAAATAAAAATAAAAAAAGATTCAGAGGGAAGAGATTATTGGTTTGCCAATAATTCAATTTAGCGGCAAAAGAGTGTGAAGCGTGTGTGTATAAAGGAATGGGGGGGCAGTGAAACCGGTATTCTTGTGACATAAGTCTCTAAGGGCTTCAAAGGACTTCATTCTTGGTTCATGCGCATGTATAGTTGCACCAACAACACAAATTTAGTCCAATGAAGTCCTAAACGGCGGAATGTGCCACAGGGAAAACTTTTCCACTTTGTCATAAATTTTGCTATATATATATATATATATATATATTGTGTGTGTACTGAGTATAGCAGCAGAATTGTCCAATTGCTAGGTTAAGCTTTGAACCTCTCTTCAAGATAATCCTTAGGAAGGATTAAGGATATCTTGCTGAAATTCTCCAGGGTTTTTATAACACTATTGGACTCTACTTTGAGTAATAAGAATGTATAATTGCTCTCAAAGCTTAACAGAAGAATCATGATGAAATCAATCATAAATGAAAATGACATGTTCATTAATTAATCATAGCTGAGGATCGGAAACTAATGAAGGGTTAAAATAAAGTTGAAATGTGTATTATTCTGTGATCTTATTCGAGATGATCTTTGCCCTCTCTAACATTCTGTCCTAGAGTAACGAGGTGTCTCAAGTTTCATTTTCAAGTTTGTTTGTTTATGGGGGGGTTCTCCACTGTTCATAGGTGGAACTCCTCTCTCAAATGCCTTATGGATGGAATTGGATCTTTTCTAATTAAACTCTTTAGCTCTAAAGTTGAAATGATTATCCCTCTTCTTGATGTAACTTCCTGATCCAGTTTTCCTCTCTAGTGTTCCTTCTTTTTTAAACTTATTCACAGTTCTCTTGATTTTTCTTGAATGAATTTTGAAGATGGAAGCCAGAGAATGAATCTTGGTACCATTAATAAAGATTTGTTGTTTTTTTTTTTGTTTTTTTTTTGTTTTTTGTTTTTTTTTCCACAATTGCTCACTTGAGAAGGCAAATGGGTCTGACACGATGATTTTAACCTGTTCTCTTTCTAAGTTTATAACTCAAAGTTTTTTTGTTTTTTTCAGTCATTCTTTATGGCAAATGGTGTCAAGATGGCTATTTTATATATATATATATATATATATATATATATATATATATGTGGGACTGGGCAATTTATGCTGTCACACCTGGTGTGTGTCTGTGTATAGAAATCATTGAGTCCTTTTTATTACTAGCTTGTTCGGCTATATTTATGACCTTGCTTATAGCAATAGGGCTCGATACAACAGAGCGAAAATTCTTTATTATAGGATATTACATTCAAACATGTGCAACCGCTACATAAATGCATTCACGTTTTGATGGATGCTATTGCATCTCATCCAGTGGTAGTTGTCTAATGCGAAGCACTGATATGCACCGAAACACAAATGCATTCATGTAGCAGTTACATATGTCCGAATGTAATATCCTATAATAAATATTTTTGCGAGTGATATTTGTTTTTTTAAGCCTCTCACAAAATTTCTTCCTCAGTCAGTAACTTTAAGCTAATTGCAATTGGTGGTTTTCTTGGATAGTGTCATTGATACTAGATGGTCTCTGCAATTGCATTTGTATACAAGCCATTTTAAAGGAATTTGGAAATGTAATTTCTTTCAGATTTTTTTAGATGAATTATATTGGGTGGTTTGAAAGGATTAATAGGATCTACTTTTATCTGTGTATGTGAGGAAAAATCGGTGGTGTGTTTGATATATGAAATGTTGGAAATGATCACATGGTTTGCATTTTTGCAAAAAGTAGTTAAAATTCTGAAAATAATCCAAATCAAGTGTTGAAAATCTTTTGTACTTCCACATAAACAAAAAAAAAATCTACCAGATAGTGTTTCCATTTGTAATTTGAATTTTCCTTTAAAAAAAAAATGTTATGAATAAAGAAAATTAAATACTTTATAGCAACATTTAATGCAATAGATCCTGGGACAAGGAAACTGAACTGCCACTATTGTATTAAAGCCAGTCATTGTCCAAAGCTGATGTCTATTGATTGGGAATCCGCAGATATGATTTTCATCCAGAGAAGATGATTCAAACAAATATTGCTCCCATTTAGGCCAATTACAGGCAGTAATCAATGAAAATGTTTTTGTGTCAGCATAAAAAGGATTTTTAGTTTGGCTGACAAGTTTTCACCCTTGCATCATATTCTCAAAGAATTACAAAAGAACACCTTGAGCCATTCTTAATTAAGAAAAATAAAATGTTCTTGGTGGATGGAAGTGTGAAGTTGGCTGAAAGCTGGCAAAAAATAATGAGACAAAACTATTTTTCAATAAAAATTGTTGCAGACTTATTTTAATAATCAGTCAATTCCCTCCCTCACTTTTGTCTATATATCAATACTGGTTATGGTGGCAACATGTCAGCTCTTGTATTCTCCAGCCTTCAAGTATCTGTCATATTTGATATTGTTATGGTTTTCATTAGCAAGACCAAAAATTTTGCCTAATAAAAAAGACCATAGGGTACAAAAGCTAAAAAGTTCTAACAGTCAAGATGGAAACATTTGCCCTATTATTCTGCAGCCTTAAAAATATAAAGTATGGTGCTGAAAAGTTCTTAACTCAATTAAGAAGCCTTTCAAAATAAAATGTACAAATCCTGACATCAACTCTTCACATATTCAAGTTGTTACATTTCTCTTTCCTCCAAATTTGCATATATTACACTTTTGTGTGTGTGTGAGAGATTGATTGAGTGAGCCAGCCAAATAAATATATACACACTTCATGGAAAGAAAAACTTATGGATATTGTAATACTAAATTTATTCAGACATGAGATTAATAAAAGTTTCTTTTGAGTAATAGCCATGAGGGTAATGACATCTGTTTAAGATATATTGTTAAGTGTTATCGCAATTTCATAAAACCTGCTTTGGGGGGTAGACTCTAATAAACACACACATACACTAATTGTAACAAAGATATACATTCTCTTAAGCATAGGAACGAAATTAAACCAGCAGTTCACTAATATATATATATATATATATATATATATATATATATATATATATATATATATATATATAACCTGGTTCCATAATGAAAAGCAATACAAAAGTGAGCATTCATATGTTACTGGGTTACTATACTGGATAGGGCTATTTTTAAAAGCCCGGGTCTCAAAAGTTTTAAGTTTTGTTGCTTGTTATTTGGCAGGATGGAGTATGTACATTTTAACTTACCTTTTCTAATGTGATCTATTAATTGAGGAGATAATTGAAAATCTAATATTGCTGGACTTTCAAATTTAACGAAATCTAGTGATTCTAGTGTCTATATATGGGCTACAATTTCCTGTTATTAATTGGGCTTTTTCTTTTTACTCTCTCCTCTTGAATACCTTATTTTTATTTTTTCTTGTTATTTTTCTAGGATTCGATGATGCTGTTGAGGAGAGGGTCATCAATGAAGAGTATAAAATATGGAAGAAAAATACTCCCTTTCTTTATGACCTTGTGATGACCCATGCTCTGGAATGGCCAAGTTTGACTGCTCAATGGTTACCTGATGTTACAAGGTGAAGATCATTATTTCTCTATCAGTCACTTTAAATTCTTTTAATTTCTACAGTCTGGGAATAGCTTCAGAACATTTAAATTTCTTGTTAAAGATCTAGATATTGATTGAAATTGGGATTTGTGATGTTGACAGGAGGCACAGTGGAGTAATGGATAGTGGCTCCGATTGAGGAATCGGAGAGCCGAGTTCAAATTCCAGTCAAATCCATTTCATTCGCTTACATCCTGATACTCTTGGGAAATGGATGAATATTTTAAAAAAGGTTAATTATTAGCAAAAATTCATATTCCTTGTCAGTGCTTTTTTCTTTTCTTTTTTCCTCTCTCTCCCCCCTCTCTCAATAATTGTTACTTAACATACTCAGTTTCAATAATATAACAAATATTGATATGGTTCAAATTTATGTTAGGGATTTCAAATTTGAGACTATAACTTAAAATTGTCTCATCTACTTTAGAATTGGGGAATGCCAATACACAAATTGTGTGTAGTCTTTAATAAGAAAAGGATAGACTCCACTCCATCCGCCCCAAAAATGGGGTGGGTGGTATTGGCAAATTGACCGTTTTTAAGTGTGTGTGTGTGTGTGTGTGTTACACTTATTTAGATCATTCTGTAATAAAACTTTATAAATTCTTTCCTGTCTTAAATTCTCAATTAATTAAACTATATGGCAGACACATTTTAGAATAATAATAAAAAATGTTTGCAAAAAGAATCACCACACAGATAATATTACATCTGTAAATTTTAAAGCTGCACAATACAAGAGTTTTTATTTTGCTTGTTTTTCTTTCTGTAGCACTATTGTTGAATTTTTTTTAATGAGTATTAATTTGTCATGTATGGAAAACCATAAGTATCCTCTTGCTGTTTATAATTGCTGTTCCCAAGTGCACCCTGGACCACAGTGGTAGCACCTGTTAGGATCCCAGTTATGAGCAAATAGGAATACCACTACCTCAACAAAACACTATGACAATATGAAAAATACAAGCAATACATTTTATAGCAAAATGATCAACAATACATTTTATCTGTAGTTGTAGACATGCCTTCAAAATATTTAGATTTCAACATTAAATATGCTGCTAAACATAATCAGCCAACATGAAAGAACTTTCATGAGATTAATCCATATAATATTTTACAATTTTTAAAAGAAATCAAACTTTAATCCAAAATATAACTTTAACAAAACTACAACATAAAACACATGTCACTGTCTAGTAATTATGTCCGCACAAACATGTATATGCACAAAAGCTAAGTATCGTCTACCATGTACTCAATTGTGAAAGCAGAATAGCATGTTTATTACTTCAAAGCTCCCAAGAAAATCAAATTTTGGCATTAAATGACCCATAAGGAGTTGATATATATACAAAACAAAACCCTGTTTAATCCTTTAGCATTCAAACTGTCTTATAAATATCGACTCTCATTGATCAAACTGCTGCAACCCACCCCCATGTATACACTGCCATAATATATGACAATGCTATTGCAAATAATGCAGTAATTCACATAAGCAACCAGACTTTGTGGGAATTTTTTATATATATATATATATATATATATATATATATATAGTTATATATATAACTACAGAGCAAAATATTTTGGGAGATAATAGTGATAAACAATGTTCCTTTTAGACTTGCCTATAAATGTTTTCATCAGTCTATAAGTTGTAGTCAAAGATAAGTGAATCTTTGAGCATTGCACTTTAAGCTGTATCTTGCATGTTCATCAAGCTTTACTGAAAGTAAAGATTTTAAGAACTGATGTTTTAATTTTCATGAAAAAAAAATGTTTAAGATGTGTCAAAGCAATGGTGGTAGAGGGGATCTATTGTAACTGCAATATCTAGTTTTTCAAAAAAAAGAAAAGTGAAATACAATGAAAAATGAAATAAAAAATCTCTTCTCTTTTTCAGACCTGAAGGGAAGGACTACTCTTTGCATCGGTTGATTTTGGGGACACATACGTAAGTTGTATTCTTTCCTGTTGCACACCACCTTATTAAATGAACCCTGAATGCCTTGCTTGCCCACTAACCCACTAGGTAGACTAGGGTTTCTGTTAATGGCTATATGCAGTAGCAGGATCCTTCAGTTCTTGGTGGTTTAATTGATTGGACTGATTGATTGTTGGAGCTTGCATACATGTTGGTTCCAGGAGCATCTATTTTTTTTTTTTTTCTCTCTAAGGATTTTCTTTCCTTGACATCCTTTTTTTTTTTTTTTTTTTTTTTTTTTCTGAACTTTGAGGGGCAGTTGGATGCCTCTTGTTGATGGGCATTGGTCTAAAGATTGGATGACCTTTGTGTGTGTGTCTCTTAACTGATCTTGTTCATTTTATGTGGCTGCATTGTGCCATAACAGCTGTCACCAGATTGTGGCTGGTTCTGCTATTTGTCAGCTATGCTACATTTTGCTCTGCATAGTAGATTGCAAATAACTGAGGCTTTTTTTTTTTTTTTTTTTTTTTTATCAATACTTGCAAATTTTCATATAAGTTTGTGTTTTTCATTTTAACTGCACTTGCTCTTTTTTGCTAAACCAGCAATTTCAGAAAGGCACAACCAAATCTTTTTCTTCTCCCCCACCCCCTTTATGTATCTGAAATCTGATTTGTATTACTTATTTGCTATTTAAATTTTTTTGTTATATGTTGCTGTTACCACATGATGCCAGCTCAATTGTTTGTATTGCTTACCTCTTTTTCTTCCTGTCCTGGGTTGGTATAGACTCAAGAAAATACTTTCTCTATATATTTGTAAATAACTAGTACTTAGGAGTTTTAATTCTGAATGAATTGGCCTACAGATATACTCACATTGTTATGCCCCATTCTACTTCAACCGCTGGTGTCACTTGGTAGTTTTACTGATCCTCATCTGATGTTTAATCCCTCTCCCTCACCTTGTCTGAACTACTACATCTAGCTTGCATTCTTCCAGATTACTAACGTTTTTTATGGATTGCAAAAAGGTTTATCATAGAACAAATATGTTGAATTTCTCTGATCCTTCATTCCCTTCTAATTTATCGGATATTTAAGGTTCTTTCTGCTGCAGTATTGTATGAAAATGTTGCTTGCTAATATTGTTAAAAGTTAATTTAACATGTCTAATAACTTCTGAACTAAAAAATCCATTAAGATAATGACTCTGGTGTTCTTTTCACTTTTTTTTTTACATAATTATCACATTACTTTAAAATGGTGTGACCATTTTGACCATCCCTTTTCCTTTGCTTGTGGGCATTTCTTCATCTCTATTTTTCTCTATCTCCTTCCCTATTATGTATATATAACTTCTTGATTTGCTTATGAACTTGCATTATATTAGCTACCAATGGACTGGCTGGTTATACTGCATTTTTAGTGGCATAACAAGCTCCAATTTGGTATTGCTTCATCCCTTTCTATTCCAGCATCTCACCACTGACAGAAACCATCACTGTTGGACTACAGCAAGGATGAAAAGGAATCCTAATCAAGAAATTAGTTTATTCCCAATTTGCCAGGCATAGAAAATGATTGTCACCTTTCATAACATGATTGTGTGCTTCCCTTTTGTAAGGAGGAGATATTTTCCTTATTTGAACTAACCACAGTGAAAAAGTGGTAAAATTTGAGACTATAATTTTTACAAATCTTGTCTAAATTTAAATATTTTAACATTGTAAAAATCATTAAAGAAAATACTTATAAATATCTTTATATTTTAAGTCTTAAACAAGCTTCTAACAAATTTAATTCATAGTTTGACTAAAAGCAAATTCATCCCTGATTGAACATTAATTTCTGGTAACTGATGATAATTGCTGTAACCAATCTTGTTTTTGGTTATAACTTGTCTTGTTTACATTTGTTGATTTTTTTTTTTTTTTTTTTAATTAGAGTAAAACGCTAAAACAGAATTGATGCATTATTAGTGTGGCTTAGAACAACATCAAAGTAACATTGGAATTTTGTTTATTTAATGCTTTAAAAGATTGAATTAGAATTTTCATCCGTATTTTTTCATAGCACTGTTTCTGAAACACTGATAAATATTAGCCAACCTGTAAAGAATTTGAAAATTAGTTTTAACTTTTACATGTTAATTTTTGTTTTTACTCAAGCTTGCTGATAGCATTTTAGTTTTCAAATAAATTAACAATGAATACATTATTAAATCTTTAGAATCATGACACAAAAGTGGTTCCATCAAAGAATGTTTTAATCTACTTTGAAATTTGGAAAATTAGCAAATGAATGTAAACTTGTAGTTTCAAGTCACCCAATGTACCACCTGCAAGTATCCGATATAAAGAGAAATAACCCAAATTAACTTTCAGTGATAATGTGAGAAGAAAAGAATGCCTTCACTTTTTTTGCATATCTTAATTACTTCCATTTTCCTGGAGCAATTTCAATTGCTAATTTAGCATATTATTTTTAAGGCATTTATTATTGCACCAGTAATTTGTTGAATCGGCATGTTTAGTGAATTTATAAGTTTGCTGTTCAAATACATTTTAAATAATTGATTTTAATGAAAACAATTATGAAATAATTTAGATTTAAAATGTATTGAAACCGTATTAGTAACAGTCTCATTTTTCTGTTAGGACATTTTTTTTTTTTTTTTTACAGTCTGTAGCAGTTTACATTTAATAAAATAGGTAAAAATATTCCTGGCATCAATTTATTTACCAGCATCCTTCAATTCCTGCTGGCTATTAACTGTTCTCACTTGCAGAGCAGTTGCCAACTTGGTTTTCTGGCAAATAGTGATTTAATTTCCTGGTTAAGGATGTTATCAAGTCATTCCCTCTCTGTATTATTTGCTTTTTGTTCCATTTAAGATACAATGTATTCAATAATTACAGGTTTGTATCAGCATCAGATATTTTTTTATTATTATTATTTTATTTTTTTTACTTTGCCTGAATGTTGGCTGTTTGCCATCTAGTGTTTCCATTGCTTTCATAGATATTGTCTGTCTGATTTGATAACATCTGCTCATGTTGCCTACAGCAAAATTAAATGTTTTGCCACCAAAAAGTTTATGAACTGTCTAGGGATATATTTGTAAATAATGAACTATTAGAATTTTTAAAAGTGGTTGTTGCTTTTATTTTTTCTTTTCAAATTCAGTTTTAAAGTGTACTACTTTTCTATATTAATATAAAATATCTTTCAGCTTAGCAGAGAAGTTTTTTTTTCCAATAAACAATATAAGGATGAATCCTTGTTGTTTTTAACTTTAACATTCAAAACCATTATCAAATGTTTCTGCTGTATTTGACATACCGTGATGTGGAGCATCCCAGGCCAACACCGCTTTGACATTACTTGCCTTATGTGTTGCATATTTTGCTGGCTTAGGAAAGATTACAATTTGCACATTTTGGAAAAAACGTTATTGTTTTAAATAATCATCACTAATCATGTGGAATATTCTTGCATTTGAATCTTTTTAATTCTCAGTTTTTTTTTTTTTTTTTTTTTTTTTTTTTTTTTTTTTTTTTTTTTTGTTGTTTGTTTGTTTTTATGCTAATATTCCTTTAAAGGAGTCACATCACTTGAAAATAAGGTAAATCTTCATTCAGAAAATGAAAAATATTATTTTATTAATTTGCATATCAGTGCAAACTTTGTTAGGATACAAAGTAATTTAATAAAATAGTTTAACTGCAGATGTTCAAGATTGCAGTTAAAAAAAAACAAGCCTGAATATGCAGCAACTGTTTAGAAATCCTTGTTGGTTGTTATTGCATAAAATTCAAGTGATGATATTTCACCTGGTGGTTGGGGGGCATTTGACCTTTTTCGTCAGGTTTTGAAAAATATTGGTGGCAGGATGAATTTTCAGGTAAATTGAGCATCCTCTTGAGTTTGTGTATATGGAGGAGTGTGTATGCATGTATGTATGTGTTTGTAATATATATGTAAGTATGTGTGGGTGAAAAGAATTCTTATACACAGGACTCCATATTGACTAGTAATTTTTTTTTTTTTTTTATCTTAAAAAAATTTGCTAAGTGATAAATCCCATGACATTTTTTACCTTTTCTATTTTGTTAACTCCAGCTCCTCATCTCCCGATTCGAACAACTCTCGGATGTGAGCAGTTTCATTTCCTGCCTGGTTTTTACTGACACAATAACTCCAGCTCCTCACTTGCATGCTTTTCTTGTAGTGGTGGCTTTCGACTAATGAACCAACCAGTGACTCTGACTTCCTGCCCTTGTCTGTTAGAAAGAGACTCTCATTTCTAAAGCCTTCAGCTGCCTGCCTTTTGTCAACTTTAGCCCTCTTTCTCTATCTCTCTTTCATGTTAATCTGCTCTCCTTCCCCCCCCCTCCCTTTCCATACCATTGGACACTGGATAAACCACTGTTTGCATTTACCAAGACATTACTGCATCTTATCCATTTCATTAATGATCTTAAATTTTAACTTAATTTATTTAGTAACATTTTTTATTTATGGTATAGGTACAATGAAAAATTCCAATCTATCACCAGCTGCTGGGACTCTAAAATAGCACTACAATTTTTGTTGGTTAACATAGAAAATCATTTTTGATAAAGCATAATGTCAATAACAATTTTGTATTAAAATAAAATTGATATTTTGTGTAATTAAAAATAAAATAAAAATTTCATTTACATCACCTACTTTAATATCGAACCTGATTGTGGAAGGGATTAGCTTTGCTTATTTTATAAGTAACTTTTGTACTTTTGATTGCTCATTCATTTTTTCCAACTAATGATGTATATCTTATTTAATTTTCTGCTATATACAACAAATACATTGTAGAAAAAATGAGTTAGTGAGAATTGTTTTAATGGTTCATAATATATTGAATAAGAGATAATGACCTCTTCCTTTATTTATCAATCTAGAATGGGTTTTTGGTTTAGTTTTGCTCAATCTCTCCTTCCCTCCCCTCAACTGACAAAGAGAGAAATATTACATTTACAAATAAAAATCCAGAGGACTAACAGAAACACTAATCACAACTAAAAAAAAATAATTGGATAAATTCAAACAGTTCAATTTAAGAACGGTTACCAAGAGCCTTTCTAATTTGTCACTGTCTGTTGTATTGATACATGGTTGTTCCCCCCGGATGACTTGGTATTTTCTTTTTACTTAACAAATAGATACTCAGTGGAAAATGGGTTTATAATTTCTCCAAATGAAGATAATCTTAGCTAGATATATATATATATATATATATATATATATATATATATATATATATATATATATATATATATATATATATATCCCTTTGAATTGTTAGAACCTGTTCAGGGAAGCACACAGTTACTCTGCAACACTACAGTAATCAATTGGGTCATTTGAATGTCATTTTTGGTTTGTGGGGGTGCTAAGGAAATTAAACCATTTTGCATAGCAGTACTCAACTTGATGTTGCAAAAAAAAACTAAACCTCAAATAATTGTGATGGATGTACTGTATATTCTCCACGTTTGGCCTCTCTTTTGAGTAACACATATTTAGCTCCAAGCTATCATCATTTCTATAAATGCCTAACCTTGAAAATGTCATTAGCTCCAAAGCAGAATTGTCCCCTTTTTCTCTCTCTCTTATATGAATGAGTAACCATTATACAAGTCACTTTCACTGTCAACCTAATAATAGGAAATACCAACACTAAGTAAATATGACGTGAAATACATATGCTACTCTCACAGTTTCAATGACTTGTAGATGACTGGGTTCAATTTGAAAATTATTGGAACTTGTTAATATTGCTGCAGCAGTTATAGAACAAAGGAGTTTAAATAACCCATAAGGCAAAGTTTGTTTTTTCTTTTTTTTTTTTTTATGCACACTTCTTGCTTCTCATACTTGGTGTTCCTTATTTTAGGATATGTTAATTTTAATCTGGTTATTATGGCTGACTAAGATAAAAACATTGGTAGATCTTGATGCATTTTTGGCTTTGATTTGGTCACATGCAACAACTCCTATTTACTTAATTGAAGCTTTAGATGAAATTCTTGAAACCTGTATCAAATTGTGACTTTGCATTGTTGTGTATTACAAATATATATTTTTTATTGATAATACATTTTTCCTCTTTCTCTCCTTTTCTCTCTCCCTCTCTCTCTTAGACACTTGTACAAAATCCTTCTCTCTTTAGTCTTTCTTATTTGACACTGTTTTGGTTCATATGGCAAAACATCAATATGAACAATTAATCTTTGACTCTTTTTTAAGAGTTGATACAAGATTAACTGAGGATTTGTCAATTGATGAGATTAAGTTCTTTGTTTCCTAGTATATCAAAATGCAATTTCCTCAAACTACAAAATCAAATAATGGGTCTTTTTTTTCTTTCTCTTTTTTTCTTCTTTTTTCCTGTCCTCTTTTTTTTCCTGTTATTTATTTTCCACTTTCCAAATTTCTTTTATAAACTGAAATAAAATTTAAAAAAAAAAAAAAAAAAATAACATCCTTTATAATTTTTTCATCTGCCTGGATTTTCTTTATTTCAGCAGCTGTAGGTGGCATTCTGACAATCTGGACAGGTACTATGACTAGTCTTTTACTCTATAACTTTTAATGTATGGCTTGTAGGCATTTTTTGTAATTGCCCAAAAAAAAATTTATATTTTTCAGTTGGCTCCACATCAGTTTTATGTATAAAATATCTAAGTTTTTGTATTTTTATTTATTTTCTTTAAATTTGAAATCCTCTAGCCAGCTCCAATTTTATTTTTAAGTTTTTTTTTTTTTTTTTATTATTATTATTTTTAAGTTTTTTTTTTTATTCTCCTCTCTATCTCTATCTCCCCCTCCCTCTTCTCATATTTTAAAAATATTATATATACATATGGAAACCTGCCCACTTAAATTCATTAATAGACAAGTTTCCAGATATAAACTGAAATCTCCAAACAACAGATAATCTGGGCAATTTTAGATAATTCTGGGATGTTGGTACATATATAAAATTTCCAATTTACTAATTCAAAATTCTTAGCTGGCAGTATTTTAGGTAACTTATTTGAAAGTATGGTTTCAATATTTTTTTCTGAAATAATTTTTCCCCCTTCAAATAATTAATAAATATCAAGTAATTTTGTTTCCTTGTTTTGAGCGATGGAGTACCAAACCTCATTTAACCTTTCAATAGGAATACGCTGGCAATATCTTTTTAACTGGGGATTTATCATTTTATCCAGGTTTCTATTTCATTTGTTTTAATTCTTTTTCAACTGGATGAGTAGACAGCTTGGATATGCACAAGACTTAAAAAAACAAAACAAAAACTGAAAGAAAAGAAAATAACTAATGAAACTGTACCTGTCCAAATTATCAGGATGGTTAAGAAATCAAAATCATTTAAAAGTTTTAACTTGTAAACTCAGCTGCAACAAACAATAGTTTGGGGCTTGCTTATTGTTTCTCTCTTTGTTTTGTCTTGGGGAGTTGCAGTCATTGATAGCCACCTTCTGATGATAGCAGCAGCAGCTTTACTGACCTGTATTTGTGCATAACATGTTGCCTGCTTTGTAGTTCTGCACAACTTTTAACTGCTAAGCCATTTCTCTTTCTTTCTTTTTCTCTCTCTCTCTCTCTTTTCCTTTGCTCATGAGGACAAAATCTACAACCCAGCATATTAGGTACAAAAATAATGATACTGATCAAATACTTTAAAAACAAAAAAATCAGATTCTGATGTCAGCTAATTGCAATAAATATTCTGTAAACTTGTAAAACATTTAGAAATTCTGTTCACCAGATTTTGGAGCTTGTGCTTATAGATCTTTAAAATAACTTTTTGTTTTTTTTAATTGCTTTTTATCATTAAGACAAAACCAAATTGCAACAAAATGACTTTTGTGCAATATAAAAGCAATATAGAAATTCAATGTCAGTAACATTGAAAACGACAATAAGTCAGTATTTTGGAATGTTATAAATTTGATCATTTGTATATATTTGCAATCTTATCAAAGATTAAGTTTTATAATTTAACCCACAATTTATGTGTGTGGTTGATTTTCCTAACAAAATGAACATGCATCATCTTCTGAATTGCATGGATGGAATACGATTTAGCAACAAGTCAAACAAGATAATATTTTGTCTTATGCTTTGTTTAACCTAAGTTAGTTTTCTTTAATATTTGCCAGTTATTTTCTGTTAATGCAAAAGAAAGAATAAACTTAAATGTTCCATAGTCAACAGCATAAAATTAGACTCAAGGAAAGCTTTTCTTTGCAAATAGTTTTTAAAAGCTCTTGGTAACTGTTTATTTCAGTCATTAATTTGTGTCATTCTTTTAAAATAGGAAAATTTCTTTATGGAGTGTTAGACTTTTTAACTTATTGATAAAAAAAAATTGTTTCCCCTTAAGTTGTAATGATATTTGAGGGTGGGAGATTAAGTTCATGCTTACCAATGTTGATTCTTTCACTTACTACTTCATAAATAAGTAATTGTTAGGTATATACTTTAAGAGAAATTGTGGCTATGGGAACAAATACTTAACTCTTGACAATCCTATTGAATCCCAAACTTAGATTAACATTCTACATAAAACTAGATTGTTTTATGAATTCTCCTTTTTTCTTTTTCTTTTTTTACCAAAGTTCTAGTACACGTTTTTTTTAATGGCCACATTTTAAATATTTCATCACTCATTAACTATGATGAAAACAATGTAACGGCAGTTTTCATGCTACATCCAATTGGTATCACAGTTTTTAGAATTTGAACAGTTTCTTCTTTGTCCAATCTGGTGATCATCTTTTGCTTGTTACGGGAGTAATGTAGGAATCTGATACTTTTCTCTCTGTTTTCACCCTTGTTTTGCATGTTTTTTCTTTTTCCATTATTCATCTTTTTTTTTTCCTTAATATGTTCATGACTACAATCACTCATCTATCTTGAAGAGGATAGAATATTTTTGTTTCAGCTTTCTTGAGATTCAGTAAACCAAAAAAAAAAATAAATAATCTCTTGAAACATTTGTTTCATATTTATATACAGCTTATCATGTTAAGCCATTGCATCTTGTAACTTTTTCTCTTAAGGAGAATCAGAAGTAATTCTGGTCTTACTGTTACTTTACAAAAACAAAATCAATTTTACTAGATTTTGCTTCTGCTCTAAAAGTTTAATTTGTGCTTAAAGTATTTGGAATACTGTAAATATCAGTTTCAGTGACTAGAGCTCCAGCTGGTGATAGATTTGTTAGTGTTAAGTTCAAATTTTCTTTCTTCTTTTAAACAGACCATTATTTACAAATAGACAGACTAGCTTCCCAGTTTCTCTCTCTCTTTTTATTTTTTTATTCTCTCCCCCCTACACACACATACACTTTCAAAAATTTTTACCCTATTCTGCCTAAGCCATATATTTTGCTTTTCTTTTCTTCTTTTTTTTTTTTTTTTTTTTTTTTTCCACTCCTCTAAGAAAGTTTCTTATTTCTATATTGTTTGACTGGTATTTCTTTCTTTTTTTTTTTTCTGTTGTTAAAATTGCATGGGAGTAATAAGTTGATGTTGTAGATCTTTCTCTTCATGTCCTGTTTATTCGTTTTTTAAATTAGGAGAAATTTGATTGAAAACATTACTGTATTATAATTAATGATTGTTTAATTATTCCACATACTGATAACAAAATTATAAGAAATTTATCCTAAATTTCAGGCTGAAAATGTAGATGTATCTCTCTTTTTTTTTCTTTTCTCCTCCTCTCACTCTGCAATTGTTTTGCTTGAAAAGAATTTTAACCATTTATATCAAACATGAATACTCTATACTTATCTTGGCTTTAAGTGATAGTTTTCATGAAATCTGTTCCGATCTTCAAATTCTCTAGCAAATGAAGAAACAGGTGAACATGTACAGGGATGGGAGGTTCTTCCCTGTTTTTAAAAGATTTTATTTCAATTTTAACTCTCCAAAATTTTGAGAATTGTATATTTCTTTATAGCAAAATGGTTCAAAAGGTATTTTTGATTCTGACTTAGGGAAGATTGGGCTGTAATATATATATTTTTTTTTTTTTAATCTTTCACTTGTAAATGTTTGTTAATCACTACCAACTAATTTATGGGTTGTTGTTTTGTTTTTTGGGTTTTTTTTTTTTTTTTTTTTTTTTTAATAATACAAAAATAATGAAATTTTAATGGTATTTAATTAGAAGAAAACTAGTTGATCTTATAAGGTTCTTTCAGGCTTGTGGTCTACCTCAATTTGATTGAAACCCCACCTCCAACACACACACATGCCCCCCACGCTTCCCTTATATCTTACATGTGATTATAAACTGGTTAGTTGGTTGGTGCAGTGTTGCTTGCTTACTCTTGCATGTTTTAATGTTTGCATTTAGTTGTAACGCTACATTTCCCTCGCCCTTTTTTTTTTTTTTTTTTTTTCCCCTTTCTTCATTTTTGTCCCCTTCCAAAATCATAACCACTTGGTCAGAGTGAGAGGGTTTAACCTTGCAATAAAACCAGTTATGATTGTGTGGAAAGTGAACATGTCTTTCTTTCTCACTCACTCAAATTATAGAACCAAATATTTGACATGTTTCATCAATTTTAAGTACCACCTTTCACTGGTTATTATATAGAATGTTCAATGAAGATTCACCCAAAAAAGCTAGAATATATTTGGCAGCAGAATATTTGACTTTAGAAAACTAAAAAAAAAAGTCTTAATTTTCAGCATTCTTTAAACTATTAAAAAAAATCCCATGAAACTACTCCATCTTAATACTTCACTGCATGTAATAACTAAAATCATTTCTTCTTTCCATTCTAATCTACAATCTTTTCAAATAAATTTAGTATGCAAGCTTGTAAATGTTGTAGTATTTGTATACTTTGCTGTAATTTTTACATGTGGCTTTGTTTATTCTCTGAATGTGTTTTAGTATAACAATTTTGATTGTTACTTACTACCAGAGCCCACAGAGTTGTCCATTTTCCTGCTTGCTGAAGGAATTGGGACCAGCATGTTTTTAGATTCTTGTAGTTTTCTATGTAACTCGCCTTGATATTTATAATTGAACTAGGGTTATGTATATTATAAAGAATTTCTTGGTATTGTTAAAATTTAATGCTATATACTGGACTCATTTACTCTTTTCTTTTTAATATTAAATAACATTTATTCATAGAGGAAAAAGTAGAATGTAATTGATTTCTGTGAACATAAGATTTAGTAAAAATATTTTCATAAAATATTTTTTTTATTATTTCTTTGTTAGACAAAATTAAGTACTTAAATGTTTAAATTTTTATTAAACTCTATATAGTAAAATTTTAAATTTATTTCTAGCTTTGAAATATTTAGGATTTCAAACTGAAATGTTTAAATCTTACAAATGTTTATTCACTGGAGAAATTCTGGAATTATTTTTGAAAAATTTAGTATAAGAGGAAATCTTTAGGGGAATGGTTGTAGTTGTTTTATGCCTTTAAGGTGACTGTTAAATTCTGCCTGCTACAATATTTATTCTTCTTTCAGATCGGATGAACAAAATCATCTGCTTATTGCCAGTGTCCAATTGCCTAATGACAATGCTCAGTTTGATGCTTCTCATTATGACAGTGAAAAGGGAGGTAAGTGACTTTTTCTTTGATGTTCTTTGTATTATATATCTCTCTCATATATATATATATATATATATATATATATATATATTTATATATTCTTATTTTTTCTTATTTTTATTTTTTTTACACAGAATTTGGTGGTTTTGGCTCAGTTAGTGGGAAAATTGAAATTGAGATAAAGATTAATCATGAGGGTGAAGTAAACAGGGCACGATATATGCCTCAAAATCCATGTATTATTGCAACAAAGACGCCGTCCAGTGATGTACTGGTCTTCGACTACACCAAGCATCCATCAAAACCAGGTAAGGACATTTCTGGATAAATTATTTCCAAATGAATTACCTGGAAAAATACTATTTTAAAATAGAATGTCTCTCTTTTTACTTTGAAGTAAATTGTAATCTGTGAGCAGTTTTTGAATGACTTTTTCTTTGTCTTTTCTCTCCATAACAGATCCAAGTGGTGAGTGTAATCCTGAGCTGAGATTAAAAGGCCATCAGAAAGAAGGGTAAGATTTTTTTTTTGCTTTACCCATTTTAAGAATTGCTGAAAATAAAAATGTCTTTTATTGCCTTTACAAAAAGTCTGTATGTATATATAATAATAATAATAATACCCAAACTTAATTCTTTTTCAGTTATGGCTTGTCATGGAATCCCAACTTGAATGGACATTTGCTTAGTGCTTCTGATGATCATGTAAGTAATGTTTACTAATTACCTTGCAATGAGAGAATGCTTTTAATTTTATATTACTGAAAAATTTTGGAGGAATTCATTATTTTTCCCTTTTTTTTTTTTAACAGACCATCTGCTTGTGGGACATCAATACAACTCCAAAAGAAGGCCGTGTGATTGATGCTCACACAGTATTTACTGGACATACTTCTGTTGTAGAAGTGAGTATCATTTTTTTCTTGAGTTCAATATAAAAAACAATAAAATAAACTGTTTTCACTGAATTTAATGTATTAAAACAGTCAAAGATGTTTATTAAGCCAATTTTTTCTTTGCCTTTCAGGATGTAGCTTGGCATCTTCTTCATGAAAGTTTATTTGGATCTGTTGCTGATGATCAAAAACTCATGATGTAAGTCTTGGTGAATTTTAATTTAACTTGATCACTGCTGGGTTTCAATGTTTAATCACAATGTTTTGTTTGTTTTTTTTTTGTTTTTGTTTTTTTTTCACTATCTACAATATTCAGATTATTGTCCTCATCTTTGTTGCCATATTTATCACTACACTCCGGCCTTTTTCAGGTGGTTGGAATGTTGAATTGAACCCTTTATTTCGCTTGCTGGGGTAGACTTTTCTTGTGTCATGTGTAATGGATGTCAGTTATCTCCTGTTAATTCCCCTCTCTACCGCCTTAACCGGGTATTGAACTTGTGTCTTTATCCACTGTGCCATTAGGGTAGGTTGATTTTGGAACTGTAAAAAGAATAACTCGAAAGTTGCAAAATAACGTTAAAAATTACCACAAAAAATATTTTTCTTCAAAACTTCGTATTTATTTGAGCAATCGATTTTAAAGACAAAATAAATCGCGAATTTTATCATCATAACAGTGTCACCGGGGACATGTGTATGTTAAATTAAAACCGAGACTTAACGAAAAGAAAAAAAGAAAATAACGCTTAATAATGGATATTTTTGAGTTTATTATCTATTCTCTTATTAAATTAAATGAAATTACTACAAATAAAAAATAAAACACATGAAAATATTTAGTTTAAAATACAAATAACTACTCATGAACAGCGTCATTTTTACTGGATATTTTTTCGGTATTTACCAGTAGTAATTACCTCCTCTTGTATGTTCGTTTTATTTTTGTTTACGCTTTTAACTAGCACAAATATCTATTTTATTTTTCATCAAAATATACTTAACTGTTTAAAAAAAATACAACTTTTATAATTATTGTAATTTGTTTATATTTTGAAAATTGTTTTATTAAAAAAGCCTGTTTACAAGCTAATCTCGGAACTAACTCTACTTTTATATAAACATTACTTTTTTAATTTAATAATGCATTTCAAGCTTTATTTTCCAATTTATTTTGAAAAATATTTTTGTATAATTTCTGATAAGACATATATTTTCTTTGTCAGATATTTTAATAAAAATGGCAGGAAAAACATCCCAAAGGGCCAAGCATACTGTGAAATTTTAATAAGGCTATATAGTGGCTAGCCTTATCAAAATTCCACGGTATGCTGTTGAGTTGATCAGGGGTGATGTATCTTACAATCTTGGAGCCAGCCTTACCAATGCATTGCTCTTGGATTTGAGGGGTATGGGCTTTCTTATCCCCAATATTAATATAAAAAGATATTTATACAGATAAATGTAAAATTGATAGAGCAAAGGTTAAAGTGAAAACAAATGCCCATCAACAGCATGATGAAAAGGTGGAAAATTTTTGTATTGCAGTTGATGGGAGAACTGACAAAGACACACTAATGTACAGGGAAATAGTGGAGGAAAATGGAGAGAAGACTGGGGAAAAAAAAAAGACCAAGAGACCAGAACGCCACTTGACTGTCACAAAGATGACATATGAAAGTGAATATCTGACACTTAAGGTTCTTCCTAATATTGGTGCAATTGTTGTGGTTCTTGCCAAGCAAGTGGCTGATGTTTTGCATGAATTCAACAGTGTGAGCACTATCAAAGCTATCCTTGTTGACAAACATTAATGCCAATTCAGGCTGTGAAGGTGGATTTGCTGCACCTCTAGAAAGAAAACTTAGCAGAAATCTTCATACTATTGGTTGCTTCTTGCACCAAAATAAATTTCCGTTTAGAGCTCTTTTTAAACATGTAGATGGTACCACAAAAAGCCCTGCTACATTCAATGGTCCACTTGGAACATTACGTGTAAATGATTACCATAATTTACCCCAAATATCATTTTCAGCTGTTGGTAGTCCTCTGGATTCTATTTTTAAAATTGAAAATGCAGATACCCTTAGTTGTGACCAAAGGCTCCTTTATGAATATAGTGGGTATTTCTAGAGGTAAGGTGGACTCTAGATTTGCATCATGGAAAATTGGTCCATTAAACCAGGCAAGGTGGTTAACTTTTAGGCATCAGTCTGATGTGCTTATGGACTCATGGTGCATACCCACGAAATATTTCAACCAAACTCCACAGTTTAATAAATTTTATTGTGAATGTGTATGCCATTTGCCAGTTCGAAAATAAAAGAAATAAGTTCCACAATCAGCAAATGTATATTTTCAATGTGATCCAAAGGATTAGGAAGCAACCATATGAAATCCAACAGATCACATTGAAAAATATACAATACAATGCTTTCGCCTTACTGCCTAAAAATATCTTATATTCAATGGTCAAATCTGATGAACTGGAAGTGAGGGAAGAAGCTATAAAAAGAATTTTGGCCATTAGGTTAGTAAATATTTATTCATATAAAATTGACTAAATTATACCGATTTATGGAATCATTTTAAGGATTTTATCTAATTTCAACATAAATATTAAAGCTGTACAGAGTGCAATTTTTTAAAGATAAATCAAATTCATTTTTATACTCTTTCAAGAGTGGGGAGCAAACCAAGAAAAAATTAAAAAGAATCACAACTATCAATTTTAAAGCTATGCACTGGAGACAGTTAAAAGATCTGTCATTAAGTGGAATTTGTGAACCACCACTCACAGAAGAATTTTCTGAAAATGAACTTTGGGAATAATTATTAAATGGTACGAAACTTGACTTGCCAGATTTGCCCTCACATTCTCAAGGTGTGGAACGGGCAGCCAAGTTAACAACAGAAGTTTCCCAATCTGTGTATTTGAAGCAAGGCACCAGCACATAATATCAAAAGCTTTGTGTCAGAAATTGTGACCATCAATTTCATCTGAGGGTTCTTATATGGAGCTATTTGACTATATATTAAGCCCTATTAAACTATTCTTTATTTTTCCATGCATGTTTGTTGTATTTTCATTCAAAATAGAAAAAAAATCAATTTTTTAATGTATTCAACTAATACTGCTTAATTCATGAGGTAAAAACAGCATTTCAAAATCATCAGTGATAGGGGAGGGGCAAATTTACAATTTAAAGTTTACTTATAATTTCTACATTTTATTTAATTTTGATAAAATAAATAACATTCCATGATTTAAATGGTGAAATTGTTTGTTTTTTTTTTTAACAATATTTAGTCCAAATCTTGCAAAAGCGTGGATTTTTCAGTGCATTTTTTCTACGATCTTTGATGCTAAATGCTCAAAAAACCGTTGAAGTGACAAATCTAATTTTTTGTATCAGTATTTAACTGGGCTATACACAACTTTCCGTACATTATTCTTTTTGATTTTCTAAAAAAAAAAGACAAAAATTGACCTACCCTACTGTGCCATGTATCCTCGAGTCTGCCCCAGTGACTGAAATAAAGGGTTCAGTTCGTTCGACATTCCAACCACCTAAAAGAAGGCTGAAGCATACAACAGCCGAAATGTAATAAAGATGACGGCAATAGTCCGAATTATGTAAATAGTCTACATAACACCTCATCTCAAAAATATAGATATATACTGAAATTTTTTTAATTTTTTTTTTTTAAGATGGGATACAAGATCAAACAATACAAGCAAACCCAGCCACACTGTCGATGCCCATACTGCCGAGGTTAACTGCTTATCTTTTAATCCCTACAGTGAATTCATTCTGGCCACTGGATCAGCTGATAAGGTATGTGTCATTTGATAAATTTTTATAATATGCTTATTTTTCGTGTGTAGTGGGATTTTGTGACGGGACAGTTTCCACACTGTTGCGATATTGTAAGTGTTTAAGTGAAGTGTGTTATTAAACTGTTCCCCTCTTTCTTTTAACAGTTCTTTAAAATAGTGTTTTGATTATTTAAGGGTTGTTGTCGATGATTTCTTTTGTAGACTGTTGCTCTGTGGGATTTGAGAAATTTGAAATTGAAGTTGCATTCATTTGAATCACATAAGGATGAAATCTTTCAAGTAAGTTTAGCATTTTTATTTCTTATAAGGTTTCTTGTATCTTTTGAGAGATTCTAATGGCTTTTTTTTTTTTTTCTTGTAGGTTCAATGGTCACCTCATAATGAGACCATCTTGGCCTCCAGTGGCACAGATCGTAGATTGCACATTTGGGATCTTAGGTAAGAGAATCTTTTTCTTCACACTGATTGATTATTTTGAATTGGATATTTCAAGAATTTAAAAAAAAAAAAAAAAAAAAAAAAAAAAAATTGATAAACATAGATTTTTTTTTTTTATCCTTTTAAAGCAAAATCGGTGAAGAACAATCTGCTGAAGATGCAGAAGATGGCCCTCCTGAATTATTGGTAAGTAAATTCTTAAAATTCCCATCTTTAGTTGAGTTAACAATTTAAATGTGATAGTTTTAATTCATTTTATCTTTTGATGAAAATTTATTTGCTTTGTATTGTATATAGCTTTTGCATTTTGAAAAATGAAATCTTTTTGGGTGTGTACTTGAATTTTTTTTAATTTTATTTCTTTTTCTTGTCAGTTCATTCATGGTGGGCATACAGCCAAAATATCTGACTTTTCTTGGAATCCAAATGAACCTTGGGTTATTTGCTCAGTATCTGAAGATAACATCATGCAAGTTTGGCAAATGGTAAATTTCAATTTTCATCTTTGCTCATTTCTCAAGTGATACTTTAGAAATACCTTCAAGTATGAAATTTTCTTATTTATTCTTTCTCTAAATTGTCAAGCAATTACCTGATTTTGACCTTCTAAATTTTACCTTTTCTTTCTCAATCAGGCTGAGAATATTTATAATGATGAGGAGCCTGAAACACCAGCTGGAGAACTTGAGACGACCAGATCTTAAACTCTGTGGGGTTTTTTTTTATATATAACATGTTACTCATATTTCAGGTAGCTAACATACCTGATCCAACCATCAATTCTCTCATTTCTAGATCCATCCACACAACAATGACACTCAGACTGATTCTGTCTCCTTCCTGCACAAAATGAAGACAGAAACCCAATCAAAATCAACACTTTTGCATCTACATCCGTTGCTTTATAAGTTGGTATTTAACACATCTTACCCACTCCCATCATCTTTTGATTTTCTCTCTCCTCTTCAACCCCCCCCCCCCACCTCCATATAACCCATGTTTGGTGCATGTCAAGCAAAGGTGCTCCTCTATGTAAATAAAACACCAACAATAAAAAGAAACCTTGTACAAGAATCTTACTTTTTTTTTTTTTTCTTTATGTGAATAGTCTATAATATTAGTATGTTTGTTTCTGAGGAAAATAATTGCTTCGGTTTCCTAATATTATTGGCCATTAAAGATTGTATACAGACGCTCTTTAATCTTTTTGATTAATAAAAAAAAATCAAAAAAATCACTACCTTCCCTCAATTGTTAAATGGTCTCAATTTTTGCAGGTTTTATACATAATCTTTAGGAAAGTTGATTAGATTTTTTCTTTTTGGTCATGGGATTCAACTGGTGGTGATTTGTGAGTCCAAGTATGAAATTTTTGCAGCCCAAACAAACTGTTGATAAATAAAAACAAATTTAAAAGGAATTCTACTGATAGAAGAATTTTTCTGATGAAAGTGTCAATCAATAAATTGTAATAAATCAAGAGACATCTGGATTTTGGCACTGTCTTTGTGGAAGAATGGATCTATATGGGCCTCTTTTGTTCCTGGTTGCATCTGGCTCTGATTTATTGAATGTTTTTCCTCTAAGCTATTTGTGACCTTCCTCAGATGGCAATCTGAATATATGAGTGGTCTAATAGTACTTTATATAAACAAAGCAAGAATTCTTTGGAAAATTTTAGAAGACCATCAATATAGTCTTACTAAATTTCAGGTTCAAATTTTCAAACTCCTTTCTTTCCTTATTGACAATTATCCAGTAATGTTAGACAAGGATTACCATTCATTATGACAAAACTATTTAAATACAAGTCCTAGAAAATTGACTGCCTTTTCCAGAGTTTCAGAAATTTGGGAATTTTCTAAATTCATGAAAGTCAAAATGGAAAATTCCAGAAATCTAATTTGTCCTAAGAAAAATATTTTTAGTAGTCAGTAATATTTTTCAATTATGGACTGGTTTGTTTACTTGATTAGAAAGAATATGAAGGTGTGTCTCTCCTAGCTATTGACCTCACTCAAGGAAAAAAAAAAAAAAAAAAAATTAATTCAAATGCCAATTTCAAAAGAAATGCTTTTGATCTCTAGTCAGTGGTGAGTAAGTTCATCCTGGGGAAAAAAATGCATGCTGTGTTAATTGTTTGTCTAAATTGTTGCCATAAGTAACCTGTTTAATTCTCAAGAAAATGTAGATTGGAAGGAAACATTTTTAAATTTTGCAGACTAATTTTTCTTGTGTGAAAAGATGAAATATATTTGGCTTTCTATTAAAAGTTAAATCTGGCAACCCTGACCCTTTACTTTTGTCAGCAAAAGATCCGTTTGCATACAGAATTGCAACAAAGAATGTTTATTATTGAGAAACTTCTAGCAAAGTCTCCCCTTAGATGCCTTCTTGGAAGATTTGAAAAAAAAAAAATGCCACAGAAAGACAGTCCTGACATCATCAGTCATTAAAGATGAGGCTGCTGGAAATATTGCTTTCAGGAAGCATGAACACCACTTTGCTAGATAAAGAGTAGAACAAAGAAAATCAAAAACTGGAAGTTCTTTGCAGATCAATAAGGAAATTTCTACTGACAGTATGAAACAGGATTAGTTGGAGGTGCTGAGAATGCACAGAACACAATAGTGTCACAGGAACAATGTGCAGCAAAAGCCATGAATAGTAGGAGTAGCTAAAAATGTATAGTGGTTTGGTTTTTGTTTTTTTAATGAAAATTATATTTGTAGATATGTTCCTTAAAACCATTTTATATGATGTGTAGTAGGAATTAAAGTGTGTAATATAACCAGGTCTGCATCCAGTTGTTTTAACATTTTGATTTCTTCACTGCTTTCAAAGGGTCCATGTCCAATGAATTATTGGAACCGTGTCAGTTTGTCATTGAAACTTAACAGTCTTGGATTTTTTTTTTTTAACAGATCTGGGAAACCTGTAAATAATTGAGTTGGAAATAAGTGCTTTAAGTCAGAAACTTAATGATTGATTATAAAGGAGGGAGAGAGAGAAAAAAAAAAAGTCTGAAGAAGGTGTTGAAACTGAGTGCAAGAGCAGAATTAAAGTTTTCAGGAATTCAGACATGTCTCAATCTTCAATTGCCAACAAAAATAGGAATTGGCTTCAGAGCAACTTTCACCACATGTGTGGGGAACAAAAAAAAAAAGAATGAAAACCAGAGATTTAGTTTAGTGCTTTAATCAACAATATTCTCATTACATTTTTTTTTAAAGAATTTATGTACAAAGTTGTGTGTGTGTATATAATATATAAATAGTATTAAAAAGAAATTAATGAAGAAAATGTTAAACTTTCTGCAATTGGAAGAATGGGGAGATGATAGCAAATGAGGTAGTAGGCTTCACCAGGGACTGGAGACGGATTCCAACTGAACAGCATTCACCAACCGGCTAAGATATTGAGGTCCAGGTTTAATTCTCTGTAATCGGCGGTTAATGTCTTCACACCTGGAATGGAAAAGACATTACTGTATTGATGCTTACAGAACTTCAACTGAGGAAAGTGAAGTTCAGTCAAAAATCAACGAATGTGGGAGGGGATGTATGCTCACACCAATATTTATTAGTTATGCAATTCTTAAGGTTGGGGGTGGGGGATTCTACTTGACAGTCTGCCAGTAATATATATATATATATATACACCCCTGCTATTGTGAGCTGACATAAGACTTATCACTAGACATCCAAGAGCCAAATAAATTTTAAATATTTAACCCAAAATTAATAGACATCTAATTCTGGAACAAAGGTTTTCAAGAGCAACAAAAGTAGGGACAATTTTGCAAATCTATCATCTTGTTGACATATCCAGGCAATTTTCAATATAAAGCAAAAAAAAGACTACTCAGATGAGTGCTATCTGGTATTGTAACCATTGCATGTCATCACCTGAACAATTTCCTAAATGAGGAAACTTAAGCTCCCATAATATCTTCCAAGCAAGTTATGTTTCATGACAAATCAAATTTACAAGGACTTCTAGAATTTCAGTGAATTTATGTCCAGTTGTTCAAAATTTAGTGTGAAATGAAAAACTGAAAAGCTTCCATTTGTAAATCGGTCGACATCATAAGGCAATGGCATTTCAATCCCCAGTAGCAGCAGAAAGAGTGACCAAAGTAAAGTTCAACATGCAAGATTTTGGCTGAGTAAAACCAGTCAATAAAAGGCTTACAAAACGAGAATCTCATCGTCAATAGGCCCTAACTTATATTACACTATCTCCCAGAAAGGTCAACTTGCCATTAATTATTTTGCAGTTTACAAAAAAAAAAAAATGACAAAGTAATTAAAGATTAATCTTCGTAATTGTATTCTTCAACAAAAATCTGTAGAAAAGAATTTTTATAAATGAAAAATATTTGACTTACCGTACATTGCCATAGTGTAAATTGACCTGATGTCTTATGGTAGTTGTTGGATAATTACTGGGATCAAATTGAAAACAAACTTGGACTTTGGTCAACTGAGAACAACAATAAGTCACCAAAATGCTGAAAGAAATTCAAAATAAGATTTAAAACCATTAAAATTCCAGCTTGAAAGTTTGGTTAGAATTAGGAAATGGAATTCAAGAAAGTTCATTCAGAAACAAATGCCTTAAAATTTCCAAGTTGGTCAGTGAGAAGCCATCTGCTTTACCTAAAGTTGTTCTGACAAAATTTAGACAAATAGGAAAGCTTTTTTATAAATGCAGTCACAAACAACTTGGTCTGTGGGCATCAATTTTATTAGAAAATTATGTAAACTTACAGGATTGAAGAGGGGGTAAATTTAAGAAACAATAATCGGCATATGGCACTATGAAGATTTGGATTTCAATACAACTTCCTTTTGCATCATTTTTTACGGTTTTATGGATAAAATCACATTTGCAACCCCACAAATTTATACTTTGGCTAATTACTTTACTGAAAAATTGAAGCCACTGAATTAAAATGATAAAAACAGACCTTTGATCTTAGCTAAATAATGCAGGTGCCTGGCTAGAATTTTTGTGTTTATTTGATTCTCTGTCAAAATAAAAAGCTCCAATATTAACAATGTGGATAGGAAGAAGGTAAACAAGTAGGAAATAAACAAAGTTGAAACAATTACCTGCTTTGTTTTCTGGTTATTACTTTCCTCAGTGAAATTGTATAGATTTCTTTAGCCAAATCCTGTAAATTGCTCAGTAGATAACCAATTCTGTGCAGCAACTACAATCAAGTTAAAATGATCATAAAAATTTAAATATCTTGTAACCACTGAATTTCTGGAAAAGAAATTGGACCTTTTCTTTTTTTTTTTTGTGGAAAACCCAAACTATCCATTTTTTTTTTTTAACCCATTCTTCAAATGAAAAGGTCAACCATAGGAAAATGGTAGGACAAGCTTTCTAACCAGTCACTAATATTGTGAGTTCAAAGCTCACTTGACACCAATACTGAATTCATCTACTCATCCATGAACCATCCCAAAATTATGCAAATGAGATCCCTTTAGCCCATTAAAACTTAAAAGTCAAAGGTTTTTCAAACATTTTGTGCATTTGGGGAAAAATCAGCTATAGTAAAGCAATTTAAGAGCCAAAACTTTTTTTTTTTTTATTCTGATCTCTACAGTGTCTTTTCCAATGAAAGGGTACCTAGACTTTGGAAATAAAAAGGTTCCATTTGACAGTAACACTATTGCTAAGTGTTAAGAAAGAAAATCAGACAGAAGCTTGTATCTGTTTTTGTTATATTGCACACCATCCATTTATCTTTCTACTGACCTGTGGTAATTGGGAGACATGCTGTAAGCATTCAAGGAAAGATTTTTCTTGCATTACATTTAATCTCATTTCATGAGCAATTTGTAGCCAAGGATGATCTTTAACAACACCTACAAAAAAAAAAAATCATTTTATAAATGATAATTTCACTTACTGAAGTAGAAAAATTATAAAAAAAAAAAGAAATTATAATCCACTTTTAATGTAATTCAGTTTTATTAAGTTTCTAGTGTTTTTGATAACATCTATTAAACTGTTAAACATAATTTATAGTTAAATCTAGACTGTATTATATTGTGCTTCAATGTATCCTCTTGAAATAGACATGTCAGGACCAATAGCTAACTTGGTTTTTATTTTAAAATTAAAAAAAAAAAAAACAAACAAACAAACACTCAATTCAATGATTTCTAATGAAATTTTAAAATATATTAAATATGTTCTTAGGAATCAACTAACATCACTTTGTTCTAAAACTTACCTTTCAGTGTCTGCCTATTTTCTTTTATAGTGGAAGGGGCAAATACTATTGCTTTGCCACCACCAGATTTGTGTTTGGAGTTTAGTGCAGATGATATTTAATAATTTGGAATTACATTCAGCTGATAAGCACAGCAATTGTGTGAGAATACGACACAAATCCCATGAAAACTTCAAATGAAATCAACAAAATTAAAAATTGCAAAATAAAAATGATAACACTTTTCATTCTCTTCCAAACCAAGAAAAAGATTGGATAAAAGAATGGAGTTCATTGATTTAAGAATTTACTCCCTGCAGAAAAAAAATAATAGTTAAAAATTTTGGTACTCGTTTTCATGATTTCATGAAAACCTTTCATAAGAGAAATCAACAAAAAACAAATTTCTCAATGACTTGACATGTTTCTCAGTCTTACTTGATATTTCTATGAGACCGTTTAGAAGAGCTGCAGGAGATTCCAAAGTCGTCTGGAGGTCGTGGTTGGAGCCAATGGTAATTTTATTGAATAAATTTACTCTTTAGTATTTCAAGATATATTATATCAAAATGACACAAAAATATCTGTTAAAATGAGATGTCAGTGTTATTTTCATTTTTGTGTAATTTAGACTTGGTATTTAGTGCCATATTAAATTGTGTTATCTTTGATGAAACAAGAAATCCAAAGAATTTATCTGTTGAAAAGTATTAATAACAAAGGTAATAGCCTAAACTATATAAGAGAATCAAAATAGGAAAAGAACTTACTTAGCCAGTTTTCATCTAATTCAAAATGCGCCTTTTTAATGTGTTCAGCTTGTGTGTGGATACAAAACTGGAAAGTGTCATTCCAAAAATTATATTTCTGTTGATCATCACATAATTGCCAGAGTTTCCAAGGGAAGAGGCTAAATAAAAAGAAGTAAAGATTTAATACGAGAGTCTACAATGATGAAGACATGGTCAAGATATGACTCTTCAAATGACTGAAGTGAGAGGGGAGAGGTGAAAATAGATGAACAGATGATTCTGGACAAGCAAAGCGAAGGAAATGGGGAGGGGGTAAATTCATTTTATATTTTTAACTTCGCACATGCACGTTTGTTTTTGATTTTGTCAACTATACAGTATAGTAGGGTCAGTTGGACCCTGTGAGAAAAAGAGCACCATGACAATTCACTCCACCAGAAATTTGGAAATGACATGCTGTACTGCTTGGCATTCATGTTGGAAGCTTCAATACAATGGAGAGTGTTTGGATGTAAATCTGAGGACAATGCAAGGGATTCGAAAAGATGAGTCTCATAGTGATTACAATGATACAGCAGCTTGGAAAATTCATTCTGATAAGAAAAAAAAAAAAATCACAGATTTGTTGGTGAGGGCCTCAGACTCAACATAGAGGTCTACATCTAGTCCCTTGACGTGGTAGTGCTGCCCTGGGTCAAGAGGGTGGCTGTCAGACAATTTTTGCGACCACATCACCCCTTACATCTTGCTATCTAACTCCCCAGGCTGCAACCCCCTTGATTATTATATGTGGGGCACAGTTGAGCAAGAGTCCAACAAAATTCCCTGTAACACCAAAAATGGACTGATGGCAAGGATTATGGCAGCATTCACCAACTTAAACAAGGAGACCGTCTAGAAGAGCTGCAGGAGATTCCAAAGTCGTCTGGAGGTCGTGGTTGGAGCCAATGGTAATTTTATTGAATAAATTTACTCTTTAGTATTTCAAGATATATTATATCAAAATGACACAAAAATATCTGTTAAAATGAGATGTCAGTGTTATTTTCATTTTTGTGTAATTTAGATAACAATTTATCTGTTGCAACCTCTAAAAAGACAATCCAATTTTACAAGTACAAGGTAAATAGCAAGAAATTCTTTTTTTTAAGTACTTTCAAATCATTTTTTAATTCTAGTGAGTGGGCTTGTGGCAATGACCATAAAAAAAAAATAAACTGGACTAAGCTAATTATCATATTTTGCAGTAGGGTTTTTCAGTGATATATAAAGATATAAAGGACACATATGAAACAAACCTACAAATGGCCATGCAAAAGTTTTTGCCTCTCACTTTTTGGTGCTATTATTACAAAATATCACAATTGCACTGATTTTTTTTCCTACATATGAAATTCCTGCATTCATTCAGTGAATTATAGAAAAGAATTTTCAAAAAAAAAAAAAAAATAAAAAAAAATATATATAAAGATAATGAAAACGGTCAAAAATATGAGTCAGTGAGCAATAGCTAAGGAATGTGAAATTTTAAGCAACAGCATTTTGGAAAAAAATCTCCCTTAAAGTTGGGGGTTAAGAGTCTGATGTATAAAAAGGGATTAGTTTAAGAAAGCTAAAACTGACAATTGTTTGAACAGTGTCAAATACATCCAATTGCTAAAAGACCACATATTGGATGAAAGTAAGTTTTTGTCAGTACGACAGAACTTCATGCCACAGATTGCGTGCAACACAAGTCTGGCAGATGAAGGTGTCAGTTTTAAAAAAAACTTGGCAGCTTAGAGTTCCAATATCATTAAGCAAATATAAACAAACAAAAAAGAATTTGCCAGAAGAATCATGTAGCATTACATTAGGACTACTTTCTTACATGTGTGAAGCACTCAATCCAATTGATAGCTATAAACACTAATACCCCAAAAAACTATAAGGTAACAAGAAGTGGCTGTGAAATAGAATGGGCAATGGGAGGCTTTGCAACAACTCCTGTCAAATTCATTATACAAACATACTTAAGAAATAACACTTCCATTTACAGATTTAAATCCTAACAAGGCAACTTTACTTATATTAAGAAGGCAATCTCCTGGTGAACATAGACAGTTATCTTGTTTGACTAATAAGAAAAATATCTGAACTTAGTCTATTTCAGTAATGTAGCATTACACTAAGTTTACTTTCATACACACAAACACATGTGAAGCACCCAAATCCCACAATAATACATATAGGACCTCATACTTTGACAGTAACCAGCAACACAAAACACACATCTAAATCCATAATGTAAAACTGTTAATAAATCATTAAAAATGTACAACTTCATCAATTAATCACCAAAAATCCATACAATCTTGAAGAGTTGTACGAGCTCAAAAGAGTTCCCCCTCCCAAGAATCCATGCAACATTTAAGAGTTTAATTGACTTTAGTCAGTGAATGGCATTTTATACCTACAAAGAGGATGAAGGATTTGTATGTATCTCCTTCCAAGCTAATGGCACAGAAAACATTAACATACAATAACTTTTTGAAATGAACATTATAGACATGTATCTGTTTTGAAATACTGTATCTGGTTTGATTCAGGTAAAGTGGCTGAAAATTTTTGCATGACCATTTTTGAGAGTTGCCTTGCATCTTCACATCTCATTCAAAAACTCTGCTACAAAATAAAATCGTATGCTATTGAAATGGGTCTAATAAATCTAATGTTTAATCTGTAGAAAACCTGATGCGATACATCCACTTGTAAGCTAACAATAAGAAGTTTACAAAAGTTTGAAGTCATCAAAGACCCCTTTTTATGGTACTGTATTCAAAATGAGACAAGGAGGTTTTACAAAAAAACTGTAGTTATTTTCACTTGTGTAATTATCAGAGAAATCATTTCCTTACCATACTTCGAAATCTTTTAAACTACATACAATTAAACACAGTTATCAAATTGACAAGCTTCCCTAATGCTTTTTAAGAAATCTATAAGTTAATCAATATTTGATTCCCAAATAGGTGTAGTTGATTTTATTTGCTTTATTTCTAAATTACTTTGCAAATATAAATATATATTGAAATATTTAAATAAAGAAATCAATTATACAATCTTGTTTATTAAACATTACATATATACCAATTTTTAGATTACCTTCATCTGTTTGACACAATTTGAAAAAGAAAATATTGCAAGAAACCTCTTTATCATCCCACAGTAAAATATGCATTGAGAGAAACATCAAGAAATTTACTCAGTAGATATATATATATATATATATACACCTTAAAGATAAACAATGTTTGCTTAAATGGTCATTATTTTGCAGTTAAATATTAAGATATAAATTTTAACTTACACAGAATATATTTTCAATTTTTGGCAATTATTCACAAGAGATGATGTATCAAGAGAAAGTGGTTTTAATAGATTTGCATGCAACATTTCCAAGTTGGAGTATTCCTCCTTCAGGGTTTTTTCTTGGTCTCTTAACTGACAACACTGGCTACAAGAGAAAAAGAAAATTGTTCATTTCTATCAGTAAAGCTACCAAAAATAAAATTGCTTTCACAAAGATATCAAATTTGTCAATATTTTTTTAAGTTTGTCACAGCAAAATTTATGTTAACAAATAGCACAGGCTTTGCAAAAAAAAAAAAAAAAAAAAAAAAAAGAAGAAATCTCCCAACTACCACATCTGCTTGCTTCCACTTCCAATCTTTCTCTGCCCTTTACCGTCATTGTATACCACCTTTTAAAGCAGGTGATTGAGCTTGTATGCAAATGACTGACGTTCATAGAAAAGCTCAACATCACACATGCACCTTAGACCTCTTGTTCAGCAGGCCAGACACCATCACAGTTTCATAGTCACAAATTAAGAAAATATTCATGTGTACAATATGTTAGTGCATGCAAACATACACAAACATAGCATCCAACCCACAAAAAAATGCATACACAGACATTTGAGCAGCAGTCAGTTATGAATTGTCAAAAGATGGTTGTTCTGGTTTTAAAAATCAGTGTAGTTGAGATGATGAAAAGTGAAAATTTAAAAAATAAAAAAAATCTTAAAAATAAAATTATTTTTTAATCACACACTAATTTAATCATCCTGTCTCCAAGACAAAATATCAACATCTTCCAGAGTTGTCTAACTTTACAAAGAGTCATTAATAGATGAAAAAATTGTTCAGACCCTCAAATTAGAAATATGAGGGTCCAATGTTGAACATTTTCCAGATTTACTTGTAATTTGTGAAATTATTTCACACTTGCCATTTATAACCCCACCACATCTTTCTCTCATCGGTTTGCTTTCTTTCTCATATACTGCTCTGTGGTAGAGCATAGGTGAGATTCATTTTTATATATATTAAAGAAGGTAAACTGACTTTATATATATATATATATATATATAGAGAGAGAGAGAGAAGCAGGCAGGTAGAGATAGATAAATCCACTTTGTAAGGTTCTTCTTTAAACTTGAACTGCCTACATAGAACAAAAGATAACCTTCTTCCACCATCTTTATTTCCAACTAATTCATAATGTTCAAATAGTGAAAATATTTACTCTGAAATATGATTTAGCATTACGTCAGTCTACTAAGATTTGTTTAATGTTGACAATTATCATGCAAGAATTATTTCACTGGCCTACCTACTAAATTCTCTTAGAGTTTAAAGTTGTTTCATTCAATTACAGATCTTATTTTAATTGATGTGGTAAATATCAGAGCTCAAGAGTGCATATTAGCTAAAATGCAATCATAAAATTAAATAGAATTGGACAGATTTAATTTTCAATGATTTTAAAATAGAACATAAGTAGATTCTATTAAGTGTACAAATCATCACTATTACTTTCTTCATCCGTTGATACTTTACATTTAGTTTGTTTACATAGCTCAAGAAATACTTAAGGAAAGACATTTTGCAAAAAAAGTTATTAAAATTAAAATACTGTGACTTCATTTGAAAATGGAGACAGATTCTTCATTAGGAACACTAGATAAAAAGATGACAAATCTATTAATCCATTTATGCTTGTCATAAAATCTAGTTTAAATTATAAAAATAAAAATCCATAATTATAGGTTTCTACCAAACACCCATTATTGCCCACCTTTCCAAAAATGTGATGGTGAACATTAATGAGCTAATATATTATTTTGCCCATTTTGTTGATATATCAAGGGGTTGAAAACATGGAAGAAAATAAAAACAGATGAAATATTTTGCATTTTCAAAATAAAAGCCTATTGCAAAAAGAAAACTTTGCTTACTTGGATAATTTTTGTTCTTGCATTTGGATGGTGTCAGCATCTGCAAATTACAAATCAGAGAAATACATTAATTCAACAAAATTATGTAGATACCTGTGTGGCTTGGACTGAAGGTAGATCCAAGTAACAAACAACTGAAAAAAATTCTAATCATTTGATTTTGCTAATCTCTGTGGAACGTCTCTATACAATCCATTGTTAAATGTTGTATAAGAATAAGTGTCGTTGCTGACACCGTGGTTTGAAACTAGATTGCCAGTGAGTAACACAGGCAATTCCATTATTAAGTAGATCACATGATCATAAAAGAAATGAATAAATACAAAGTAACTTGACGACTAGCTGATCACTCTTCTTGCTATACATTCACTCTCTCTACTATACAAATTATGATTATCTTCTGATCATTATACTATTTGGCGATTACTACTTGAACCAGTATTACTAGTGCGAATATTAATGGAAGGTGTTACTACCAGTACTGGCATCTACAAAGTCTCCACTACAACAAGCATTTTTTGAAGTGATAACAAGCTTTCTTTTGACATAACAAAAGTGACAAGCGAAGCAGTTCAACATTACAAAAGTGGTGACAAGGATTCACAAGGATTCTTTGAACTTACACGGATGGAAAAAATGAATCTGCAAAATGTTCAGCAGAGTTCAGCAGAAAAATGGAAGAATTAAAGGCCCTTATGTTTCAAGTGCTGCAACAACAGAAACTACAGCAGGAACTACAATTACAGCAACAAAAACAGCAGGAACTACAATTACAGCAACAAAAACAGCAGGAACTACAATTACAGCAACAAAAACAGCAGGAACTACAATTACAGCAACAAAAAACAGCAGGAACTACAATTACAGCAACAAAAACAGCAGGAACTACAATTACAGCAACAAAAACAGCAGGAACTACAATTACAGCAACAAAAACAGCAGGAACTACAATTACAGCAACAAAAACAGCAGGAACTACAATTACAGCAACAAAAACAGCAGGAACTACAATTACAGCAACAAAAACAGCAGGAACTACAATTACAGCAACAAAAACAGCAGGAACTACAATTACAGCAACAAAAGTTTTTCAAGTTGTTCACTAAAACGATGAAAGCAAAAACTTTACTCCTTATGCTGTCACTAATTCAATTACCAAGTTTCTGTACAATCTGGATGAAGGAATAACTTTCCCATCTTACTATAGAAGATATGAAGGAATCTTTAAAAGGGATTCTGTGTATTGGAGTGATGAGAAAAAAGTTCAATTATTGTTGAGGAAGTTATCCCCTGCTGAACACGAAAAATATGTAAACTATATTTTACCAAAGAAGCCAGGAGAAATGACTTTTGATGAGACTGTCCAAATACTATCGAAAATATTTGGAGATACTGTTCACTGTTTAATATACATTGGCAATGTCTCAATTTAGTGAAATCCGACAAAGATTTTGTCATGTGCACAGGACTCATAAATCGGGAATTCAAAACGTTTAAATTCAATGAACTCCTGATCTGTTTAAATGCTTGATATTCATAGGTTCATAGTATCTGACCAACTAAGAGGAAAAATTACAAACTCCTGATAAAACTATTAAGGAAGACTATAAAACCCACTCAATACCTAATATTTGCCATGGCTGTGGTGGTAAGCATTTTAAAAAGGATTGTTTCTTCAGAAACAAGAAATGCTTTGAGTTTGGGAAATTAGGACACAAGAGTACATTTTGCAGATCCAAAAAATGGAGAAGAAATAAAACACAGAACATAAAACATGTACTAATAATAAGAAACCCAAAAGGTAAATTAATTACACTTCGTAAAAGAGGAAATATGTTTTCACACAAATAAATGGTATGAAAATTAAGTTGCAATTAGACCCATGATCCGATATTACTATTATTAACAAGCAGACTTGGAGGAAAATGGGTAAACCCAGGTTAACTTCTGAGAAAAATTGCTTATGGAGTCTCAGGGAAAATATTAAACATTTTAGGCAAATTCAGCTGTAATGTTTCATCTGTCAGGAAGACCAGAAAAACAGTAGTATTCGAGTTGAAAAACACCTAATCTGTTTGGTACAGATTGGATGGCATTGTTTGATGTGTGGGATGTACCTATTAACTCATTTTGTAATAACAAATATTATTGCCAGTTCTAATACAGCAAATGAAAAAACTAAAAAGCGACTTTTCAGAAGTTTTTTGGTACGTGCATGAAAATAAAAGCAAAGAAATGTACCATTATATTATATGAATTCAACCGCCTTCTTTTTGGTGTAAAGGTTGCACCAGCTATATTCCAACAAATAATGCATACAAGGCTGGCTGGGTTGGATTGTGCTCAGGCATATTTGGATGACATATTGGTAAAAAGCAAAACCCAAAAAGAACATGCTGAAGATTTAAAGAAAGTCTTTGAAAGAATCAAAGATTATGGCTTCAAAATAAGTGAAGAAAAGTATGAGTTATTCATGTCCAAACTCAAATATCTAAGGCAGATTATTGATGAGAGTGGTAGACAACTAGATCCTGCAAGAGCAAGCACGGTAAAGGATATGCCCAACTAATATTACAAAATACAAGCATTCTTAAATTTTACAAACTATTATCATACATACATACCTAATATGATTAAGTTGAGAGCCTCATTAAATAATCTACTGAAGAAGGATATCAAGTGGAACTGGACAGAAAAGTGTCAAAGTGTGTTCGTACAGATTAAGAAAGTATTATCAGAGCTATCACAGATTCATTTTGATCCTAACCTGAAAATTGTTTTTGCATCTGATGCAAGTGATACAGAGATTGGAGCAGTGGTATGATGACGGATCAATGACGCCAATAGTGCATGCTTGAAGGTCATTAATTGCAGCTGAAAGTAGCTACAGTCAAATAGAGAAATAAGCATTGGCTATTATATTTGCAATGAAGAAATTTCACAAGTTTTTACATGGAGGGAATTTATTCTTTCAAAAGGACCATCGACTGTTGTTATCAATATATGGATCTAAAAAGGGTGTTCCTACACATACAGCAAATAGACTGCAGCGCTGGGGAATAATTCTATTAAATTATAATTACAAGATGGAATTTTCACCGTCTAAGAAGCTAAGTCATGCGAACGTTTTTTATTGATTAGTACCAAGATGCTGCGAACCGCTGAAGACACAGTAATTGTGGCAATTAGAGCCAAAAGCAAAATAAGCAATGTACTATATAATACCATGAGAGAGTTACCAATTACATTGAAAGAAATAAAAATTAAGGCAGAGAATGACCACTTCATAATGAAAATGAAGGATGAGCTAAAATCTACCGGAAAAAATACTGGAAGTACTAGTGCATTTTCATTGTGTGATGGTGTACCTATATACGCTGAGAGAGTAGTTATACCAGCATCGTTACAAAAATGAATGTTGAAAGAGTTTCACAGAAGTCATCCTGGGATTTCTAGGATGAAATCTTTAATGAGATGCTACACCTATTGACTGAATATGAATAAAAAATGTGGTAAAATTATGCAGAGGTTGCACTCTAGCAGCAAAGTCACCACCTAGAAAAGGTCAACCTTGGTCGACAACTGTTAGACCATGGACTAGAATTCATATTGACTTGGACCAATAAATGGAGCATACTATCGGGTAGTAGTAGATAGTTTTACAGAATGGCCAGAAGTATTAAATTGCAGGAGACCAACTACTGCAGTAACTTAATTTCTTCCATGAAATTTTTGCAAGATTTGGTGTTCTTGACTCAGTTGGATCTGACAATGGGATGCAATTCACGTCCAGTGAGTTCAAGTTCTTTTGCAAGTCACTAGCAATTGAACACATTACTACTTCCCCGTATCATCCTGGATTGAACAGACAAGCAGAACACTTTATTGACACGTTTAAGAGGGTGTTAAGGAAATCAGAGGGAGAGGAGTCAGATGAGATTAGGATTCAACAGGTTTTAAGTGTTTACCGTATTATGCTAAACCAAAACACTGTATTGGGAATGTCACCGGCAGAATTAATGTTCGCTAGAAAATTCAAGTCCGTCTTTAATAAGCTACTACCTGAGCACAAGACAAGAACATCAAAGAATGAATATACAAATACTTATTTCAAACCTGGAAAAAAAAGCATTTTTCAGGAAATATCAGCATGGGAAGGAATTTTGGCAACATGGCATCTTTAAGAAACATATTGACAGAATGACGTACATAATACAAGGACAAAAGTGGGAGCACAAGTGACATTAACCAGCTAAAACACTGTTTCACCAAATAAAAAAGTTCCCGAATGGAAGTACCAATGGAAATCCTGTAAGATACATTCAACATTCCTATACCAGCAGAAATAGTGCAACTAAGGGTTAATGGCAAAAGGAAAAGAAGGTCAACAGTTTCTAACCATCAAACTAAAGCTAAGAAAAATATAGACACCAGGTCATTTCAAAGGAGGGGTGCTGTATAAGAGTGAGTGCCATTGCCAACACTGTGGTTTGAAACTAGATCGCCAGTGAGTAACACAAGCAATTCCATTATTAAGTTGATCACATGATCATAACGGAAGTGAATAAATACATAATAGCTTGACAACTAGCTGATCACTGTTCACTCTTCTTGTCTATTCACTATTGCTATACGTTCACTCTCTCTACTATACAGATTATGATTATCTTCTGATCATTATACTATTTGGCGATTACTACTTGAACCAGTATTACTAGTGTGATTATTGGAAGGTGTTACTACCAGTACCGGCATCTACAAAGTCTTGATTACAACAAGCATTTTTTGAAGTGATAAGCTTTCTTTTGACATAACAAAAGTGAAAAGCCAAGTCATCCAACATCACAAAATTAAAAGGGATAGAAAATGGTTGACTCATGTCTCCGACTCGTGACAGGTTGTATCTTTACAATAGTCAGATTGGGCCAAAAATGGAGTATTGCTGCCTTATTTGGGCTGGAGCTGCGCAATTTATGCTTTCCAGCCTTGACAGAGTTCAAAATAATTTATGTAGTTTTGTAGGAGATGAATTATTTTGAACTCTACAATTTCTTTTCCAGATGCAGTATGACAAACCTGTCACTATTTCCATGGCAAATGTTCAGGCAAGAACCATTCTTTAGTTCCACCAGTTCAAGCCTTTACTGCTAGGATATGCTATGCTACTTACACAGAATTAAACTGCCCTCCTTTTTCCCAGGTTCCAATTCTAAGGGAGAAGTTCCACTTTGACAGCTCATATTCCCAAACTGACATTTTGTGGAACAGACACCCGCATTCGTGTTTCTTTGAACACTCCAATCTTAACTTCTTCAAGTCAAGGGTCACATGTTATCAGTCTTCTTCATCCTCATAACCTCCAGTTCCTACCACTTTCTCTTTCATTTATATCACACACTTCAATCCCTTCTCTACCTTAAATGTCTCTTCAACCCTGTAAAAGTAAATAAATAAAAAGGCAGCATGTATTTTCTCCATACAGGATGAATATCTGGAATTGACTCTTCAAAATCAATACATAAAATGTTTCTGCCATCAATCTATTACCAACAATGATACGTGATTGGCCTTATGATTAAATAAGGCCAATCATGTTGGAATCAATTGTTGGAAAGATTTTTTTTTTTTAAATATTCAGTAATATTTTATACCTACTTCTTGATGCTTGTTACATATCAGTTTAAATTCAAACTTTATCTTGCTTGTTATAAAAATATATTTTATCCCAAATTTCATAAGCTTATAAAATCTTATTTCTATTCCTATCTTGCATTCCATCAGTTATTGAAAATGGAAGTGAAATTGAAGTATTTCTCCAATCTCACTGGAATGAGAAACAAACCAAAAGACATAAGATGAAAAACAATGCACAAAAATTAGTAACTCTAAAGAAATCATGAAAAAGAGTGAATAAAAAAATAAAAATCTCAAAATGTAAAAATGGTAAAAAACTTTTAAAAAATAATCCCAAAACAGATTATGAAATTTTCCTATCATGTATTTCCAAATTGTTTAGAATATATTCATAAGAGCTGATTACAACATAACAGTTATACATTTATGTTATTTGATTTAATGCAAAAATTAATGCTAAAATATTTAAAACAAACAGTAATTAAAGCCTTAGTTCTCTGACCTTTATGTAAAATTCATTTTCTATTGATGATCTTCAATAATCAATTTGGGAAACAAATTTAGAAAATAAGATTTCCCTTTGCAAAATAACATACTAACCATCCAAATATTTCTTAACTTGAACATATTGTTCAAGATCCTCATCTGTAAGCTGAGGAAGAGTGTTCAAGTGATCAAATTCTTTGTTCAATGTTTCCAAAACTGAAACACAAACAAAAGGTATAAAGACATACTCGTAAGCAAATCCATGGTGTAATTGGGCATCAAATTAGAGATTTGCAATTTATCTGCCAAACAAACAAAAAAAGGAAGAAAATGAAATGTTTACAAATTAGACAACATTCTAGCTATCATGTGAAAGAATTTTGTTCTCTTTTATGTCTGAAGTTTTCATTTACATTGTGAAAAGTCCTTCATCTACCAGAATTTTCTGCTGAAGTAAATTTCAAGATAATTACAAATTATAAAGCTAAATAAAAAAAAAAAAATATGAAGATTGTAGCATTTAATTTACTTGATATTCTCTCTTTACTGATGAGCTGTAGGCTGAATCCTCATCAGAGTCTATTTGGTTGTTGTTTGTTTATATATTCTAACCAGTCATCCTTGTTTATTACATCACAGAATTTTCACTCCTGGCTTAAGAATCATCAGCTATCTTAGACTGAGAATGAATTTAAATATTTTAATAGTTTCATTTTTTTTTTAACAATCTTTATTAAAAGGAATTAAATTACCAACTATGATTGCAATATTAATAAAAACTTTCATACTTACCTTCATCTAAACTCTCAAGTTGTTGATGTATTTTCTGAGAAATATCATCTAACTGAGATTTGGCTTCCTCTAAGACAACAACTTTTTCCTGTAAATCAAACCAACAGATAAAAATACAAACTTATGCGAAAAGGGAAAAGAATTAAAAAAAAAAGAAAAGGAGAAACCAAACTACATATTGATTCTATAAATGTATTGAGGTTTTTTTTAAAAACAAGACTAATTGGTAAAGTGATAGGCATTCAAAAACAACATCGTTTTTATTTTGTAATTCTTTCACATGTCTAAAATAATTAAATTCTTTTGATGTTTCAACTTTTAATTTCTTGCAAATGTCAAGAAATTCAAACAGTGAAGAAATTACAATCAAAGCAAAATAGAACAATAATTGCAGACAACTGATTAAGTTACTTACTTTGAGGAGGGAACAAAGATTTACATAGCGTTCAGATTTTCTCTGTTTGACTTTTTGCTGCGATAGTTGCCGAGATTTTTTGAAAGCCTCAATAAGTTCATTTTTCAGTTCATCATTCTAGGAAAAAAAATAATGTTTATATTTTCCTTAGCAATCTGAATCTAAGTAAAAAGTACACAATTAAACATTAATATATAATATTAAGGAAATGTGCATGTGTATCTGTATGTGTGCACATATACACATGCATGGAGAAAGCCAATCATTTGATGATATCACACTGAATCTTTCAAATGAGTATAGATATAAATTTATAAGATCATCATTCATTCTACAACCCTCCAAGAATGTTTTACCATGTTTTACCTTAAAATTAATTTCTTTTAAACGTACAGAAAGTATATTTGTAGAAATTGTCTTTTAAATAAAGCATATCCTTTACAGTAAACTAGTTTTCATGAGAGCAACTGTTATACAACTTATATTAGGATTAATATTTCTCGGTCTTATTACTTCAATGTTTTTTCAAATAAATTAACAGTGTGATAGGGATCAAATAGAGATAAGAATCCAACAATGATAGGATAAGGAACAAATTGGGAACGTTTATAAATCTAACAAAAGTGAAATCTATAAAGGCAAAAAACATGTTAAATGTTTCCTATTTGTTCCTTATTCTATTATATATATATATATATATATATATATATATATATATATATATATATATACACACACAACCTATAACAAAGTGATGTAATATTAACTTGACTTATCACAACAGTTTATGAAATATTGTTTTTATTTATATCTGCTTTTAAGTGAAACAGATGTATAAGGATGAGAAAGAAAATATCTTAGCATCAGTTATTGAAAAAAATCTTAATTTATCTTTAGCTAATATCTATGTTTAGAATCAATTTTAAATCATGGATGCTGACATCAGTATCTGACCACAAGAGAGATTCAACAATATGTAATATGAGAGAAGGAGTTATTAATCTATAGAAAAATAAATGGCAAAGATCATCTAAAAGAATGATAGAAATTGCTAAAGACAAAAGAAAACTTACCGATTTGAAAGCTTCTTTCTTTTTGAGAGCAATTTGGAAATCTTCCAAAAGTTTCTGGTTATGAAATTCTTTCAAAAGACTGCAATAAACAAAATGATTTACAATTTAAAAAAAAAAAAAAAAAAAAAAAGAGAGTAAAAAGACATCAAAATTCAGCTCAAATGACAACAATTTCTTTGTAAAACAAAGTTCAAGTAGAAATAAAAAAAAGAAGTTCAAAGCAGTTCCTACAGGTATATTTTAATAGAAGTTAAACAGGTTAGTGAGAAAATGATGGAATGGATGTCATCATTTAGAGAATAAATATAAATAGTAACAAGAAGTTCAAAGTTGACAATATTCAAATGCAACTAATTCTTTCAGTGACATTTTTATAGAACTGAAGAGAAAAACCACTCAAGCAGAATTTACACTCTTAATTAGAAATCAACAAAAGAAATGTTTTTAATCACAGAGCAAAATTTACTTTTAATCATTTTTCAATAAAAATAAATGAACAAAACTTTGTATTTCAGAAAATTTAGAATACAAGTGTTTTCAATTTCTACTTCAGCAAAGGATATTAATATATCCTCCCATGCTTACCTTTCCTCTTGAATTATAATGGCATAAATTAAGGAACCAGTTTAGTTAGTTGCAAGGAAAACGGATTGAAAGCAATTTCAATTGATTGTAATTATCTTTTTTAAAAAACAAGAGAAAACTCAAAGAATGTGATTGAGTTCTTACTAATGTTCATCAGCCTTAAGAGAATCATAAGTCTGGAGAATGCTCTGGTAGGTAGGTTGTTCCAAACAGGACATCAGCAATTTTTCTCCAATAGTCTTACTTTCAGATCCCTGAAGAAGAGAGAGGAAATAAAATTAGTTAAATATTAATATAAATAATCACTTAATATTATTGTACTAATTTATCTATACCATCTTTAAATAATTTTTGAAGTTTGGTCATTCCATATCACATCAATCAATGGCCACAGATAATCCTTAGAAAAATATGACAAAATTCAAAAGTGTTCGTTGATCAAATTGATTGATAAACTTCTAAATATTAGATGTGTATTTTTAATAATCTTAAAATCAGATCATATTGAAATTTCACTGCATTTTTTGTGTTTTACTAAGTAAGTCTTTCAATGAACTTCTAACATTCATAGCTCAAAGGATATTGCATGTTCACATTTGAAACTTGTTGACAGACTTAATATTTTGGATTTATTAATACATTTGATAAAAGAACACCAATGAATTTTCCCAGATTTTTTTGAGAGGGTCATCTGTGACTGTTGGTTGATTTAAGATGGAATGACCTAATTGCATTATATTTATATCAATAACTTGATATTGTTCTACATTTTCTCATTTATGGTCAATTTGTCTTTCATTTGATCTTCAGGAAGAATTAAGATAACAGTTGATCCTTTGTCTTGTCCCCATGTTAGAAATAAAAATAATTGTAATAAATGAAATTTTAATATATTAAAACATAAAGACTGTCATAATTTAAATGTTTGTTTTGGTTATAAACATTACATTGTATCAAACATTACACATCAAAAATATACACTGACATGCCAAGACAAGGGATAGATGTCTACTATCAATTAGAATCTTCTCTAACCTATGTGCAACAACTCAATCTGACATTAATTTTACAAGAGGTCAGACCTCTGGAGAGATGTTAAACTATGCCATATGACAGCTTCCCACAGGTCCTTGATGCAAGATCTTGTAAGCAAGTAGACCTCTCCATCACCCAATAAATGCTCATGTCAGGCAAATTATTTGTTGGAAGTCTTCAAAATTCTACTCTAAACAATTCTGGACTACTTGGGCCTCATGACACAGTGCATTATCCTACCAGGATAACTCATTGTTGGAGAACACATGATGAATTTAGATGGATTCAACTCCGCACGGACACATTCTGCACCATAATGGAACCACTACCAACCTTGTTGACAACCAGGGTTCATGACCTCATTGAACCCTACCAACAACCCAAAAACAACAGGAACCATGACATCAAATCACGCCCCACATTTCCAGTCATTCAGGGTCCAATTAATAACATCATGAGCCTAGGTGAAGTGCTACAGTGTCCAGTGTTAAGGTGGCTCTTCTGCTTCCATATCCCATAGATGCTAAAGAATGCTGAACTAACCTGCTAGACATGCATCTGGTACCTTCCTGCAATTAATGCAGTTTGAGTCTGTGCTACTTGTTACTACAAACAATTCTAAATAGATGCCTCTGTTCACAATCATTTTGGACCAATGATCAGATGAAAGTGACATGCCAAGTACTTTCAGTAATTTCAAATTGTCATCTTTAACTGTAAATAATAGCATAAATTAAAAAAACATCTTTCAGTCTACACATATTTCATCTTAGTGTTTACCTATGTATGGAAAAATTGTGCCCTGAAGATGACAATTTGAAATTGTCAAAAGTACTTGGCATGTCACTTCCATCTGACAACAACGCAAATATAATGATCTTATCATTCAAGGAATTGATAGTAAGTTAATGTTGCATTAAGTCTTGTTAGTGAAGTGATTTTGCTATTAATCACATTAACATTGCTAATTAATTATTTATATAAATTGTTTCATGGTAAGCTGCACACTTATATATATATATATATATATATGTGTGTGTGTGTGTGTGTGTGTGTGTGTGTATATCCTATTAAATTAAGCAGTTACTTTCAGATTTGTAAAATATTCAAGAGTTCTAGAACAATAAAAATGCAGAATACTGACAAGAGGGGCAAGATCTACACTTGAACGGCGATAGTCAATGGTGACATTTTCCAGTTTATCAATTCCAATCAATAACAGTAGTTCTTCTATGGATTCAACTTCAACCTGGAAAACAAAATGCAAACCAATAAATTCTTATTATTAAAGGGAGAAGCATCAGCAACAACAATCTTTTTTTTTTAAAATAGAAAACAATTTTAGAAATCATTACAAATATTTTCCAAGTTCTACATCAAGTTTGTTTTAAGGATCAATGACAATCTTGAAAAATAAAATTATTTAAAAAAAGTTTTTATGCATTTATTTTTTAGTCATTGCTCAAGATCCCACCTTTTCTTCTTGAAGAGATCAATTTTTTTATATCCTAATGCAATCATTATTTTACCCGCATGAAATCAGTAATCATTTAGAATAGGATCTACTGTAACCATTAATTCTTTTTCACTTTCCAAATTTTGACTGTTTTCTTCACTCCCAGAAAATATATATCTTATGTGCATGTATGTATCTCATACAAAGCAATCCTTAACAAGGCCTGTATAGCACCCATAGAGTATCTATCATTGGGAGTCAAACAGTTAACACAAAAGTTTGTTGCTAGAACTGGATTAAGATATTAATTTTTTTTTAAAAAAGAAATTTTTACTTTTTACTTTTGGATTAACTTAAGTTTATTATTTAAGATACTGAAGTAAGTATAATGTTTATTTATTTGATTTGAACTTGCATGTTTTATCTTTAAACAAACTTTCTTTGTGTAAAATTCACAAGTGTCATTTAACTTAAATTTAATATTTTTCCTCTATGATACTGTTCTTCAACAACAACAATATTAAGTATAAAATCTTTTTATGAACAATTTGTTTTTAAGAGAACAGGTATTTTTTTTAAATAAGTATGTTTCTGTACTTCATAAATAAATAGAAGACATTAAAAATGTAACATTTTTCACTGCAAAAAGCTAATGTCAAAAATTAAATTCAATAAATATTTTACAACTATTCTTATAAATATACCACAAAAATGTAAAATAGAAGACATTTTGTCTTGTATAGTCTTACTCTTTTTTTAAAATATTTCTTGCAATTATTTTAAACAGCAAAATTCACAAAAAACGTCATTATTAAAAATTTCATCACAGAAAGTTAATTTTTTCTTTATAATAATGAATATCTTGAATATAAAAGTATTTTTTTTAATGAATAATTTGTGTTTTCTTTATAACATATGAAGTATGTCCTTGTAAGAAAAAAACAAAAAAAAACATATGTAGCTTTTTGCACTGCAAAACTTCCCAAAGTACTATACAGAAATTTATACATTTGTAAAAATTTGAATGAAAATTTAATATTTTTTCTATATTATTCTTCATAACAACAAAGATTTTTAAATCTTTAAAAATAATTATCTACACATATTTAAAAAAAAAATATTTGTTGAATTTTACTAGCATTGTTATTGTTAAAAAGATAAAACAAAATGAACCACTTTAATATTTTTACAGTATATTTTAAAAAATATATGTTGTAAAAATATTAAGCTGGTTAATTTTGTTTAGAGAATTTTATGGAACAATTATCCAAAAATTTTAATAAGGAAGGTTCACTATCAACATAAAATGAACCGTGAACAGTGAACTACAGAATTCGTCAAAGACAACAGAAAGTAACCCTGTTTTGTCATTACAATAAAGTAGTAAAGTGGGTGATCAATTTATATTGATTTTACATAACAAACTGAAACACTTTATAACATTTAAGCATATAAATATAGAAAAAATGTGATAATAGTAAATTGAAAAAGTTTTTCCAAAAATGTAAAAATAAAATACTGTATTTGATGGCATATAAGGCGCACTTTTTTTCTTTTTTTTTTTTTTTTTTTTTACTAAAAATATCTTTTAAAATTCCCGTGTCTTATATGCCATATGTAGGTTTAAAATTCTCAATAGTCGGCCAAAATTGGCTACATGGCAACTCCTATTAGCTTAGACTTTAGGGTAACTTTCATATACCTATTGTCATTATTTAAAAGGCTATTAAAGTGTTATCATTGATAATATTCATTATATTAATTTCATCACGTTTAATATTAGTACTTTGTTTCACTAAAATTATATGCAATAAATTCAAATTATATATTTGTAAATATATTTGTTTCATTAATATTTTTTTTGCGATAACTTCTGGTTGCATTGGTATAAATACAATCAGAATTTTTATATCCTAATTACTCCACTAAGACTTTCACAAAACGCAAGTTGTACAGATCATATAAAGGAAAATATTTGACCGAATTTCACTTCTTCAGATATGACAACAGCAAGAAAGCTACATTGTTGCATACAAGCTTCATGTAATAAACTATGCTAAAGAGCATGGAAATAGAGCAGCTGCAAAATATTTTGGCCCTTCATCTACAGAAAAAATGACATGTTACTAGCTGTTGCAGGAAAATAATCTACAGGCAGCAATGAAAAGAAACTGTTGCTTTCACCACCCAGCCCCACACTGGCCTGAAATTTAAAAGGAAATTAAAACATGGGTTGTAGGTAAGAGGAGTACAAGTAATTATTACTACAAAAATGATAAGGAATGAGGCTAAAAGATTAGCAAATGAAAAGGGGATTCAAAACATTATAGGAACGGAAGGATGGTGTTATCATTTTATGAAACGGGAAGGTTTGTCAATGCGTACAAAAAACATCAATTGCGCAGAGAATGCCAATTGACTAAGATGACAAAATAGTAAAGTTTTATAAACTCATTATACATGCTTGAAAAAAAAAAAAAACTCCTTTTGAACTAGGCCAGATAGGAAATATGGATGAAGTCCTGCTAACGTTTGATGTTTCATCAAACAAAACTGTGAGTATTAAAGGATCCAAGACTATTACAATAAAAACCACAAACCATGAAAAGACCCATTATACAGTCATTCTTGCATGTTGCAATGATGGCACAAAACTGTCTTTTCTGATTTTTAAGAGAAAAACTACACCAAAAGATAAAATACCAAAAGATATTCATGTTCAGCCAAAAGGCTGCATGGGACGAAGCTGGTCTACAGTTATGGCTACGAGTTGTATGGGAAAGACGTCCAGGTGGACTATAACAAAAGCCTTCTCTTCTGGTTTGGGATCAGTTCTGAACACATAGAACTGAATCCATTAAAGTGGCAGAATTGAATACGGAGATAGTGGTTATTCCTGGTGGACTAATGAGTCAGTTGCAAGCTCTGGATGTGTCTTTGAATAGACCATTCAAACAAAACATGAAGGAACAATGGAACACGTGGATGGCAATGCCTGATCATGACCTCACACTTACAGGAAGAATAAAAAGACCCAGTATTGCACAAATCTGAAAATGGGTGAAGCAAGCTTGTGATAATATTAGAAAAGAAATTCTTGTGAAATCTTTTAAAAAGTGTGGCATTAGCAAAGCTCTCAATGGAATGGAAGATGACGCATTATTTAACAATGATGATAGTAGTATTGAAAATGAATATCAGAGTTTTGATAATGAAGACAACAAATTTTATGGATTTGAAGATGAATAAATTTTAATAGTAACTGTACTGTTTTGCTCAATTGTAATAATTGCTTGATTTTTATTGTTTTCTTACCTTTGGATACAAAGTTTTTACCAGCTTGTGTTCTTTTTTTCCTATTATTTTTCATTTAAATTGTAATCATTGCTTCTTTAACTAAAATAATACCTCATAAATATAGCCTAGGCTGTACCATTTACTAATAATTTTACTAATTACTAATTTTTTCTTGATTTTCTCTGCTGAAATTGGGATGCATCTTATATACCATCAAATAAGCTCCACAATAGAAGACAAAATATGTAACTTTTTTCCATTACTACATCAATGAAAAATGTCATTTAAGAATTTTTGCAGATGAAATTGATCTCATAATTCAGTAAATCTAAATTATGTTACCACCATTCTTAAAGAACAGGTCATTGAACATATTGCATGGCATCATACTGTCCATAGGGACATTATGGAGGCAGACAGAAGTGAGGTCAACTTGCAGCAGAGACAAGGAATCAAAGAAAGTGTGCTGAGGCAATCCTGGCAACCCAGGCCCCTTGCTTCATCTGTGTCAATTGCAACAAACTTCCACTTGCACATTAACCTGCACAATGATAAGAGATGTTGCTGCAAGCCTATGTCACATCAGGAATACATCAATTATGGTCTCCTGAGACTGGGATGCTAATAATAAAAATAGTAAAAGACATCTGATTATTTTATTAACATGCTAGAAGATTAACCTATGATTTAAATGACTTTAAAGTTGCATTAACCTGTATTGTGTATGCATTTTAGATTCCTACTTGCTTTCTATCCCCAAGAAAGGATAAATTTAATTTTCCAAACTCTAAAATCCCCAGGTCTGAATCCTAAATTCCTTCATCCTGGCATTTCTTAATCCACATTAGCCTCTAAAAGATGACAAATTCCCACATTCATAGACTTTAAATTCTCAATTCTGAATCCTAAATTCCAAAGTTCAAACCATCCAGACCTTAGAATATAAGGTTCACACACTTTTTAGAAGCATCACATAATCTTTGCAATAGTTTAGTTAATATTTTTTTTTTAAATTTCAATACCCACAAGATCTTTCTCAAAATGGTCAAAAAAAAAAAAAAAAAAAAAAAAAAAAAGTACCGTGTAACAGGTTTTCATGGTAACTATGATGACCAAAATAAGGTTTGTACATTTTGCCTTACCCAAGAACAGAATGAGTGAGAATGATGGTTAAAGGAAATACCTTGAGACAACACTCCTGACAAACCAAACACTTGTTTGTGAAAGGCATTTTTCATCGGATTATGAAACTGGTTATTAGAGGAAAAGTACAACCCAGAAATCCACCATCATTATTTGATCATTTGTCATCAAGTGTATTAAATAGTCTTCAACCAAAACAAATACAATTTCTGCTTATGTGCAAAATGATGAATTGGCAGTTTCTAGAAAAAGACAAAATTCTCACTTTTGAAAATTTATATCAGAATATTGATCAACAGGATTTTATGTCAGCAGTTACATGCTATAAATCAAAATCAATATATGAGATGCAAATTAATAGAAAACAATTAAAAAAAAAAAAAAAAATGTTCAACAGGATTATCAAAACATATCTCCAACCTCCACAAAAAAGCCCTTAAAATACAAATATTGTTGTCAATGAATGAAATGCTAAAAAATGAACTCACAGTAGATAAGTTTTTTTCTAATGTTGGCAAATGCATATTGATAAGCATACGACTGCAAAGACTGGAACTGATATTGCTCAGAGCCAAGATGCTACTTTTCACATCATCAACAGATTTGGTACTAAAAGATGGTCTGTTGTTAACTATGGATGAAGAAAGCTGGTTTTGACTGACATGGATAGTACTTTCATAATGAGAGTTTTCAATCAAAATGTCACTTCGTTCGTTCATAATACCACTTAAATCTGAAAAGCAAAGTAAAATTTATATAAAGAACAAGTCAAAAAGAAAAAAAAAATTGAAAAAATGTCCAACAATGTCGAGGAAATTTGAGAAGGTTTCTTCAGAGTAAAAATGAAATCAAATTTTAACAATGTGAATTTAGAAAATAAGTATAACATTAGGACAAGTTTAGTAGTCAATACTGTCCAAATTTTCAGCCCAATATCAAAGCTGGTTAAATCACTGGCCTCATTTAAAATGAACAAAAATTGAAAAATGAAATAAAGAAAAATTATACAAGAACTTTTTTCTTCAACTGTACAGATTTTCAAATTCAAATCTGTCAAGTGAAAATAATTCCTATTTCAAAATTGAACAACATTCAACAAATATAAGGAATCTAAAGCAAAGCTAGAGTTGACAATTTCCTAAAACCTTTATTTATTACATCAGTTAACACTGAGAACTGAAGATTATTAAAATGTCCAATGTCAATGTATAAAGTTATTTTCCAACAGAAGAGGATTAAAATGATTAAATATTAGTAATGATGAAATAGTTTTTAAAATGCAATCAGAAAATGGAACCTACCTTCCACTTTGAAATTAAGATCATAAACTATTGATGAATCCTTTTCAAAATTGTCAGAGGTGGTCTCTTTTAGGGAAGTATTTTTTGCAGTTTTCACTTTTGCATCTTGACTGGAGAGTTGTGAAGTGAGAAGGTTACAAGAATTGGTGTCAGTGATTGGCAACAAGGTAGAATCAGCTACTGGCTTTGTAGTCATGTTTGTGGTTTGGGATTCACCTGAGAATTTATTTGTGACCATATTAAGGTAAGTATTTTTGGTCTTGTCATTTATCTCATTTGCAACAGATGCTTCATCTTGAGAAAGCTCTTTGGAAGAAAACTGACCTATACTTTCTGAAACTGCAATTGTTGGTTGCATCATGTTTACAGCAGACATAGCTTCTGCTTTAGTAGGCTCACAAGATGTCACAGGGTTCACCCCAGACCGGCTTTGTCTCACATTCTTGATAACATTTTCAATGCTAAACATTCTTTGCCATGTTTTAAAGTTGGGCACTTTAGACAAAGAAGCTTGGCTGGTTGTTAATCTCTCTGGTTTGGGAATTTCTTCCAGGTCCACTTGGTTGGCAACTGGTTGTTTGACTAACTCAGCAACTTGTATATTTATCTCTTTGTCTTTCTGGCTAGAGTTTTCTTTAATCAGTGGCTCTGCAACTGTCATTTTCTCAGCCTGAGGAGAAGCACATTTTTTAGATCTAGTTAATGTTGGCTCCTTATTAAAAGACTCATGATCACAAGATGGGTTACTTGGTTCTTGGGTTTCAAAAGATCTTTTACTCGAGTCAACAACACAATTTGGCAATTGATTCTGACCAATACTGTTAGATTTTTGGTCATGGTATTCTTCATCAACAGAAAGAAAACTCATTGTCTTGTCAGCTTTATTCAAATTCTTGTCTACTAGTTGACCATTAGGACAGTTTTCACCACTGCCAAAAGATTTGACAATTGTTGAATTATCTAAGCTTATGTACATGTTCTTATTTGTTGCCAAATTATCTTCAGAAATTTTTGCAGGTTGTGGATGAGCAACAGGTTTTGCTACTTTGATAGTACTTTTCTCTGAAACAGAACAAAAAGCCACACTTTTCTCAAGAGTTTGAGTCAAATTCTTATTCATTGGTTGGACATCAGGATTTTCATCTTTAATAAAAGACTTTTGGATAATTGAACTGTTTACATTTATATATGAACGTTCATTTGTTTCCTCAGGGCTTAATGTTGATTGTGGATCAGTATTGGCATGTATTACATTGCAAGTTTTTTTCACTAAGGGTTTTTCGTCCGTAGAAAAGAAACTTACTCTCTTTTCAGCTGTTTTAGTTGAATTCTTGTCTACAAATTCATTTTCAACACTATTTTGAATGACTAACGGCTTTAAAACTCCAGATTTGTTCAAACAGTTTTGTGATTCTGATCTATTCTCCACTGAACTTTTTACTGCCTGTGAATCTAGATTGATTAAAATATCTGAGCACCTTTCTATCAAACCTTTCCTTCTTACCGATACTTCATCATCAACAGCAAAAAAACTGATCTGCTTCTCCACAGACTTTGGTAGATCCTCATGTACAAATTCAGATTTAGGAATATCCATATCAGATGATTTTAAAATACCAGAAGTATCCAAGCTTAAATATAAATTTTTTACTGATTTTAATGCCCTATTATCAGTGCTATCTGTTGTCTTTGAAAGAGAATCAAATTCAAGATTTGTGCTGGATCCTTTGCAAGTGTTTTCTTTGGTTGATTCAGGTAATGAGGGTTTGATAGCTAATGATTTCTCTAGATCAAATGCATCTGATTTTATTTCCACTCGGTCAATGACATTTTCAAGCAAAACTTTCTTAGTCAATGGTTCATCTAGGTTAGTTGAAGCAACTCTTTTAGCTGCATAATCTATGGATTCAGACTTTTCTATGGTAGATTTATTCAAACTAATACTGACAACAGGCAGTTCATTGTGTCTATCAAGACCAGTATTCTTGCTTAAATGTTCCTCAGGATCATAAAAACTCACTCTTTTTGTTCCTGATTTAGTTGAATTCTTCTTAGATATAACCTCATCCATGAAATTCACACTCTTCTCCAATGGATCCTTGATATTCACCTGTTGTTGACCATCAGTTGAACCAGAATTTTGGCTAAACAGATCAACTTGATTACCAGAGCTCAATTTTTTAATGGGTGGTTCATCTTCATCCAGTTGGCACGATTCTTTTCCTGACTGTTCTTCAGGGCACATGAAACTAACTCTTTTCACAGATTTCTTAACCACATTAGTAGAACTGGTGTTTTCAACATCTGTGATCGGACTTGATTTTTTCACTGGTAGTTCTATAAAGCTTACAGAAGACATTGATTTTTCAGTCAGACCTTCTGATCTTGTCTTTAGAATATTTTCATCAGAATTAAGACCAAAATTTCCCTGCAGCTTTAGAACAACTTTTTCATTTTCTCTCAAGTTTTTTATCTCACAACCCACATCTTTAGGTTCCTTCTTGCAATTCATCTCAGCTGAATGGAATTTGTCCAATTGCTTGATGGATTTATCCAGTTTTATTTCACCAGAGTGCCAAGAAATAGATGGAAGAACATTTTCTTTTTCATCTTCAGTCATCATTTTCTTAGTGAAGCTGGGATATGATGAAATTTGTTTTGTGGCACATGAAATCAACTCCATGTTAACTGTCTCCTCTTCCTTCAGATTAGAGTGTATCGGAGATTCTCTATTTGTCTGTTTAGCCTCAGTTTTGTTTTCTTTAACATTTTCAGATTCAGGTTTTCTTGAAAAATCCAGAAATGAAATTGGATTCTGAGTAGTACACAGAGTCAATTCCATGTTAGCCATGGTGTCTTTGGTTTCATTAAAGATCCTGGTCACATTCCCATGAGTGGTCATTTTTTGGTTACTTTCCTTATCCATATGATCAATTCTGGAGCATCCAAAGGGTCTGTCATGGCATGCTGTGAGATCCATGTTGGCAATTTGTGTATGTTCTGGACCAAAATAAATGGTTACTTCATCAGTTGGAGTGTTGTTGTTTTTCTGGTTTGAATTTTGTCTTGATACAGGCAAGTTAAGCATTGAAGCCATCTTGTTATCAGTACAGACAGTCAATTCCATATTGGCATTAGTGTCATCCAAGTTTCCAAAACACTGAGTCATATTTTCATATGTTCCTTTTTTTTCAGAGAGATTCTCCATTTTGAAAGATTCTGAAAATACTTTGCTATTACAAATTGTGAAATCCATGCTTGCAGTTTGATCTGGGTTGTGATTGAAGTAAATGGTCGAATCAACAGGTTTGGAAGATTCAATATAATAGACCGATTTGTCCAAAGCTGGGGAGTTTGGAACAGACGCACTAGTGCTAGTATCCATAATGTTAGATAAATTTTCCTTTGAATCAAAGACACCATCAGAGAAGCTAGTCTCATCTTTAGTGCTTTGGATGAGATTGTCAAGAAACATTTTGGTACTCATAGAAGGGCAAACTGCAGCTTTCACTACTGGAGAATTATCCTTTGAGGAACTTGGAGATATTTTTATTTTCTGCATTAGTTGCTGGAAAAATAATTTGTTGTCCAACTTTTTAGGAGTGTTGTCCAAATCTGGAGGGCTGCACATTGATTGGTTAGCAGGACTAACATCATCACAATTAATATTGATCGTACTAGAGACAACACTATTAATATTTTCTTTGTTGGCAATTGCTGATACATTCTGTATGATAACATCCCTTTAAAAAAAAAAAAACAAAAAAAAAAAAAAACAAATATTATTTCCTTTTAAATACAATGCCTCATCACTTCATATTCAAAATTTAAATCTTGCAACTTACTAATCCTTGCTTTATCAAAATATTTTAATTTATTGTAATTAAAACCTTAATTTAAAACTTTAAATTAAAATACTGAAACTGGCGTCAGACAGTAGAAAAAAAAAACATTATTAAAAAGTTCCTTTTGAAAGATTATCAAATTATTCATGTGCAAAATAGGGAGAGAAGAAAAGAATTAAACTGAACTCAATGAAACAAGCAAAGTAGAAAATAATTAAATCTAAGTTTTTATAAAAAAATTCTCGAGTTTGTTGAAATTACTAATATGACTTTCTTCTAACTTTTTTTTTATTTTACTACAAAGCAACTATTTTTTTCTTTTAGCTTTACTCTCAAGAAGAATGTATTTACACGTGACAAACTGAATAGTGACCAATTTAATAAAAATTGATTTGACTGTGATGTCACAATATCATACCTCTCCCCTCATTTAAAAAGAGCTGGATGTTTTATACCCACCTCTTAAAAGAGGGAAGACCCTCCTCCTCCCGGCACAGGCCTCATATACTCAATTCAATACATAATTGTCAAACTGGTAATTTTTTATGGCGTTGTGGATTGTGCCTAACATACATCCATTTTCAAAGGGGAGAGGTGTGATGTGACACCACGTGTGTACCTAGGAATATCAATATATTTGTCTCCATGTGCCATTCTTTACCCATCTTCCACAAACTGTTAGACACTACATTGAATATACAAGTTTAGTTTAAAGATTTTTCTTTATTTAAGATATATATATATATATATATATATATATATATATATATATATAAAACTTCTAGCATTGCTTTGAAAAGCAAGAAATGATTAATACAAAACAAACTTGAAATGAACAATTTATAATAAAAAATAACTAGTAATTTTTAGAATTTCTTTTAAGGCCTGTTGTTGCTTAGGCTTATAGAAATCTGGAGATACTTGTAATTAAAGAAAAATCTATCCTGATTACCAAAATAAATATACAAATCAGATATTAGAATGAAAATTTAAGCAACTTCAAAAGATGTATTTATAAAATAAAATGATCTGAGAATATTTTGGAGTTTGATGATAGCATCAACTACTTTTCTTCATTCTAATAGCTGAATGATGCTTCCCACAAACTTATGATGCTTGTCTCTAACCAATCATAAGCAAATTTTAACCATCATGCACTAAAAAGGGAAAAAAGAAGTTGATACTGCTGTTATGGTATACTACCTCAACACAGCAATGTTTATTTACAAGATTATAAAAACATGTGAACTATGTACAACGCCATATTTATTATTTACCATTTTATAAAGAAATAACTATGAAAACAAGTTTTTGTTCATAATTTTATAAAAACAATATCTAGAATATTTAAATAAACAGGATTTTTCTGGACATTATACATTTACTTCTCAAATTATTTGATTTCAGATTACTTGTTTCAATTTTTTAATTTTTTTTTTCCAATCATTATCTCATATCAAGGATGCCTAATCAATAGAAATTCAAGGCCTGAAACTCCAGTGATTAAAGTTGTAAGTTAACACTCTTTCTACTCTATTTTGAACATTTTTTAAACTGTTGCTAATTTTAGAAACTGTCAATAAATTATGTATTGTCAGCGAAGTGCTGACTGATGAAGAAATCTTAAATGAAGAGTGTACACTAAGCACCTTGACTAAAGCAATTGGCTAAGTTGGCAAATCGTTTTCTTTGGAATCATGATTTTCTAAGCATAGCTTAGATGTTGCACAAAGACTGATTGTGTTCTTTGGAATTAATTGGCAAAACATCAGCTAATTACCAATTAATTCAAACATTATAAATGCTAAGTAATAAAGATTTTGGTTACATATTTTTATAATTTTATGAATAAAAAATTGATTTCATATTTATTTATCTGTCCATATTTCTGAGATGAGGTATTATGGACATTATTTACATTATTTGGACTATTGTCCTCATCTTTGTCACCATATTTATTACAATGTTTTGGCCGTTGTACACTCTGGCCTTCTTCAGGTGGTTGGAATGTTGAACTGAACCCTTTATTTTGTTCACTGGGGTAGACTGTTTTAGTTCCACGTGCCATGTTTAATGGATGTCAGTTATCTCCTTGTTAATTTCCCTCTGAAAGTTCTCCACTGCTGTAACCAGGAATTGAACTCACACTCTTTGGGTCCTGTCAATGGATCTAACTAACACCTTTATCCACTGTGCCATGTGTCCTTTATTTCTTTATAAATTGTAAGTAATAAAAATTGCATTGTAGTTGATTCGCATTTCATTATAATGTTGTAAATATAAAATTCTTCTTGTAAATAAATAAACCAATAGTGTTTAATATTTTTGCTGTAAATTCAAGGACAAAGAAAATATATAAATTCACTTTCATCATATGTTTAGGTTTTATTACAATTCTAATCATAACTTTTTTAAAACAATAAATATCAAGTCAAGGTAGTATACAGTAATAGTGGTGTCAAGAGAAAAACCATCCCTTTGCATCAGTTTTTTTTTTTTTTTTTTTAGGCACAAAGATTAAACTTTACCCATAAGAGATTCTTTCTTCACTTTCTTTTGTAAATGTTCTTTCTCATTTATTGTTCTTCTTCATTTGATATTGCACTTCTTGCATAAACAATAGAAAACAACAAACATGCTAATTATTCAATTATATGGTTAAAAGAGGATTGGAATTAATTTGTAGATTCAGACTAGGTGAGCTTATATTTGCATCAGTATTCTTTTCCCTATGTTCTTACTTGGAAATAAAACATTTAATAAACCCCTAAATTCTTTTCTGTTAAAATTATCATTCTTGTAGTTTGATTCTGAAAGCCATACTTACTTTTCTGGAGATTGAAGTACACTGCAATTCAATGTGGTTGCTTTTCCTTCATCATCACTGTCTTCAGGATCAGATATGTTCTGTTTAATAAAAATACAAAGGAATTATTGCATCATACTTTCCAAATGGAAAGACCCTAGTGACTGTTGGTCAGAGAGAAGGGGTATTATAAAGTGGTACTGTGACCAATGATATTGCCTTAGCAGCAGTGTTATAAGTGGTACTATGACCAACAATAGTGAACCAACTGTATACAACAATATAATTGAAAAGATTAATTTGAAAACTGTCATAAAAGTCAGTTTTTCTAAAGTACTGCTTCATAATTGTGCTAGTAAAAATTTGAAAGATTTTTCAACAACTGCAGCTTGAAAATAGAACAAAATACATACCTTAATTATTTATACCAAGAAGTACTGGAAATTGAGAATACTAATCTAGTGGCTTTATGAGGCTCAAGGCCTAGATGCTTACCTATAGGGGCAAACATAATATTTTCACCAAAATGATTAGTAAAACAACCTATTACAATAAAAGCAATATAGTCACACTTCACAGCTATATAGGTATCTAAAATAGGGCAGTAAAAAAGTCAATTCAAAGACCTTAATATGCAAAAATAAATATGACTTCATTTTAAATATTAAAAAAGTTGATTTTGCATATCTGCTTAATTCATAAAGAAACTTACTTCAATGGCATGAGTTGGATTCTTTATTTCACCTGTTAAAAGACTGTCAATTCCTATAATAAATAAAAAGAATTGTTTTAAATCAACATTCAAGTTGGTTTTCTAATGTTAATATCAACATAAGATTAATAATATATCCCCATACTGAACAGTCCCTACCTGACTGAAAGTCAAAAAAAAAAGAAAAGAAAGTAAAACAAGGTCAACTATGCTATGTGAATAAATTAATTTAACAATTAATGGAAGAACACTACAGTATATCAATTCACAGTAACAATTTCCTATTTACAAATCAAATGATGTTTCACTGATCATCATTTCAAAATATATTAGAGAATCGGAATAAAAATTACAAAGTTTAAGAAAAAACAAATTCTTAATGCATTTGTTATTAACTTGTGATAAAAATGTATATCATTGGTGAGTAAAATTAAATAGAAATTTTTAACCACATAAAATAACATTTTTTGTACTAACAATATCTATTTACCAAAAGAAAATATATGCTGCAGACTGCTAGCAAAACTACAAATAAATCAGTGTTTTTTATGCCTGCATCCTTAAAGGTTTAGAAGAATTAAACAAACTAGCTTTTAACTATGAATTATCTTAAGCTGGGTCATATTTAATAAAATAAACATTGACTCACCAGATATTTCTTTATCATTATCATCTTTATTCCTTTAAGAAAAAAAGAGAAATAACTTATTTTAAATGTCAAACTGAAATCAATGTGATATCATATAATGACATGTGAATAAAGGAATTGTAGTTAAATGTAAAGGAAAATATAAATTCAGTAAGTGAGAGTGAAGGATGAAATATAGGATTAAAAAACATTGGTTTCACTGAACAAATTGGTAAAAGTTTTCTTCTCTCAAATGGAAATGAAATGTATTTCAAATCTCATTGGAAACTATTACTTTATTTAAATTTCCTTTTTAATTGTTTTCAAGTCCTTGTATATAATTCATATCTTTTGTTTACATAAAACAGTTAAATATCAAAACTTCAAGTCCAGATAAAATCAATAGAAAAACTATATGGTTCTATATTTTATAGATAACTAGCAGTAGAGCCCGGCGTTGCCCAGGGATGTAACAGTAAGAGTAGGTACCTCCACGAGATCGCTAAAAAAAAGAGCATAGCATGATGAAAAAGACGCCAAACTTGACGAAAACAAAATTTTATCGTATAAATGTTTGTTATTATTAAGAGTAAAGGTCAAAGTATTTTGGGGGTATTTTTTCCATTTTTTAATCGTTCCTAGCACGTCCGAAATTTTCGTTAAAAATCGAGTTTTTTTTGAGTCAGCAAAATTGACCATTTTTTACCATTTTAAAAAAAAATGGAAATCTGACTTTGAAATATTTTTAAATATCAATTATTTTTTCAAAACTTATTTTAAGAAAATCAGAAATTATAATGTTTATTTAAAATATTTTGAACCAAACTTAACTTAGTTTTTGTGCCAAAAAAGATGTAATTTGAAAAATAAAACAAAGCAGGTCATAAACTTTCGCGTCTCTTGACATGTGATGAATGATATATTTACGAATTCCATGAGGCTAATTTGTTCTACTGAAGGAGAAAAGTGAAATAATTTACATTTACGTGAACAAATTATTTACCCCGTTATTTTTAACAAAAAACTTTCAGCAGTCTAATTTTTTTTTTTTTTTTGTACTTAGCTTTCACCTTTACGTTTATGATGCTTTATGGGAAATATATTGTAAAGAAATTAAAATAAAACTGTTAAGAGTGACATTAAATTTCATATTTCTTAAGAAAGGTATCTAATTAATTTATAGGTACCTTTCTTATGAAATTTTATCAGAATTGTACATAAAATACTATAATTTTATGTACATTTATTACATTCTACTGTTATTTGTATTTGCATTCATTTTATTATTAATTTTGATATTTCATTTATGGAAAATGTCGAACTGAGATTAATATAAAAATAAGATCATATAAATTTCATAAGATGATACTGATACTTGTAGGTACCCTTCTCAGTTGAAATTGAAAAATCAAATTAACTTCTCCACATGTGTTTCGCAAAAGTAAAGGCCTTAACAGCGGAGAACAATGCTTAACTCAAATAACGCAACTTAATTATATACTGGTTGGTCTTCCGTATTTTATAATTACGGCTCGATTATAAGCACAAAATTACATTTCTTAATTACTGGGGATCTTCTGATTAGTCAAAATGATACAATTTACAACGCGCTAAAAAAAGATCTCATAAGGACACTTACAAAAGCCAATGCGGCTTTTAACTAATTTTATAATATTTTAACAACTTAAATGTAAAATCTATTATAATTAATGAAATAACAAATAATTGTATTAAAAATTCATTTTCATCGAAAAAATTTTTTTTGCTTTCAGAAAATATTGTCCATATTCATAAAAACAACTAAAAAAGCAAATAAAAGCATTTGAAATTAAATAATATCTTTGTTTTATTGAGTTTTGTATGTTACAATTCAGAGCTGATTTTCAGGTACTGATCCAATTAAAAACAAAAAAAAAAACATGATTTGCATTCCTCAAAGCCCTGTGCTTTTTAATTATTGTAATCACTAAAACTGATGCGATCGATTTTTAGCGTTTTCATAAAATTAGTTATAGGGGGTAATAAATATTTTAAAAAAATATTTCTACCATGACTTTCATAAAAAAAAACATATTTATAATAATTTTGATCATCTGTGAATAGTTTCTGAAAGTTTCAATAACATCCGATAATTATTTCTATTTTTGCATGATTTTTCAAATTAATGTGTCATACCAAAAAAACGTGCTAAAATTGTCTATGTTATTTACTAGTTCCGCTTGATACAAATAGAAAAAGGTTTTTTTTAATCAAAATTTAGAATGTTCTAAAAAGGAAAATTTTTAAAAATAATTAAAAAAAACTTTGGTCTTTCCTCTTAATAATAACATAAGCATTTAGACAATAAAATTTAGTTTTCGGCAAGTTTGGCGTCTTTTTCATCAAGCTATGCTCTTTTTTTAGCGATTTCGTGGAGGTACCTAAGTAAGAGATAGATCAAGTATCGACCATCATAAAGACTGAAAAATAAAATTGACAAAGATTATTGTTTACAGTTAACGGACATGCATGTCTTAATTAGTTTTTTTTTGTTTTTTTTACGAATTGGTCAAACTCAAACAAAAACATTGAATAGAATTTTATTATAAACAATTGCCTTGTAAATGGAATTTTTAAAGCATTCTGAATGTAAAAATAAAGAAAAAAGTGTGCAAGACAATAAGAAACACTACCTGCCAAAAAAAAAGTGAAGTTTTGTTGAAATTGGTTGAAAAATATAGGAAATCCGATCCAATATATAAACGAACAGACACACACAACCTAAGTTTTATAATAAATATGATGATCAGTTGACAGATAAGTTTCTTTCAAAGTATTCAATTATTTCTGTATCTTAGGAGAAAACAAAAAAAATCTAAGGTAAAAAAAGAGTAAATACATAAATGAATACCAATAGTGATCTTTCATTGAACAACTTACCGAAAGGCATTTTTATCTGAAAAATAAATTAAAAAAAAATAAAATAAAAATTGTTCAAGTGTGGCATTAATAAAAATATATATTAAAAACTATATAAAAAAAAAAAAGAAAAAAGTTAAGTCTTTCTGAATAAATGTTGAATTTAGAAACTATCAAACCAGTTAGCAATCTGTTCTTTGTTAACAACAATAATTCTGCTTTTTACATAGTGTGAAATTATTTTTAGAGAATAGCATCAAATCAAACAGGAAGGCATTTTCTTATCCATACAAGATATATTGTTTTTAATAACAATTTTCTGATTCACAAGTTATACCAATTAAATGAATTCATTTTTCATAAGACAAATTAACAACTGTCTAAAAAAAAAAAAAAAAACTCAATACTCAGATTAATTTCTTTTCTATTCAGATCAATTGACAAAAAATTCAAGTCAAAGTTTTTTCAAATAATATATATCAATTTGCAAGAATAAAAAAAAAAAATTTGCTTCTTTTGAAAATTTAATTGTCACAATAATCATGTTGTTGTGTGTCTCATATATATTTTTCCCTTAAAAAGGTAACTTTCTTTTCGGTCAACACCTCACCAGAAAAATCACTGGCAACTAGTATAATGTAACTATGATTAAAATACAATTTAATATTGGACACACACACACACACAAAAAAACCCCAAAAAAACCAACAGAATAAACGTTAAACTCATTGGAACTTTTTTTTGTTTTTGTTTTTTTACATACTCTCCATCTTTTTAATATTAAATTGTATTTTAATTGTGGTTCCTCATCTCCTCCCAGTAGGTCTATCATCTTGTGATTCTCATTACATTATACTAGTTGCTAATGATTCTTCTGATGAGGTGTTGACTGAAAAAAAGGTTACCTTAAAGGAAAAATAATCAGTTTTGTCTGTTTAAAACTAGCTCTAAGTTCTGTGGTATCAGACATTTATTTACATCTGCATTGGGAACATTCTTATTTTGTAGTTTTGGGCCACTCATTAGCTCTATTTATCCACAACCACCTAGTTGCCTTTTCGACGGACTCCAGGATCATTTGAATCTCCCGCCTTCTTTTTTGTCCCGTTATTCCTAGGCTAGTAAGAGCTCGTATCATCGACTGTCTGGCGAACCCGCTACAGCCGATCTCCACAGGGAAACAACGAGTATGCCATCCTTTAGTCCTGCAGTCATTTAAGAGTCCTTCATATTTACTATATTTTCTCTCAAATGCCTCTTGCATATGCTCCTGCAATGGGACAGTTAATTCCAGCAAAATAATCTGCTTTGTGGCATCCAAATAAACGATTATGTCTGGACAGAGTTTGGAGGACGATATATGTGTTGGGAATTTTAATTGCTTCCTGAGATCGACTCGCATTTGCCAATCCGACGCGGACGATAAGTGACAGGGATCCTGCAACCTTCTTACCCTGCTCTGACTTCATCCTGTATCAGGTGTTGACGCTCCTTCACGGTGCTTTTCCCGAATTTGTAGGAGGGAATCAACCCCAGGCCTGCTCAGCCCTGTGCGACTGAACCCATTATTGCTTTAATTCACGTCCTAAAGGTAGTGGCAAATTTTTGTTCTAGGTGCGGGCCGAATACTGATCATATTCGGTCGGGTCGCCCATCGAAGAAGTCTGTTGTTTATTTAGACCCGAAACTTCTAGTGACATGGGAGCAACAACACTGACGACGCATCTGGATTCGGCACTTAAAGGTGTATTTTAATAATAATAATATTTAAATATCAGACTCAAGAGACGACAGTATAATCCTCCTGCATAAAGCAAGTGCACAAAAAACAGACTGACTAAGAAAAAAAAAAAAACTGATTAAATTCTTTAAAGAGTATGGTCTTAGTATCACCACCACTAAAGTGATCAATTTCCTGGATGTAATCTTAGAACTGTCTAATGAACTTTATAAACTATATACTAAAGACCTATACAACCGTAGATACATCAACAATCTAACCACCACCCTAGAATTCTAAACAATTTACATAAATGGATCCAATTTAGGCTTTCCACCAACTTTAGTAATAAGGAAATTTTTGAAAAGTATAAAAGCAAATATGTAGAAGCCTTAGAACAAAGTAACCCCATAAAGTAACCAGAGTACTTAGAAATAAACAAAAAAGATGTTAACAAGCTGAAACATAAACGCAATATCATATGGTCTAACCCACCCTTTAGCAGCAATGTCAAAACTAACATCAGAAGATTTTCCTGAATTTAATCCATAAGAATTTTAGCCATTCCCCAATGCTAAAAAAATTTTCAATAAAAACGTTAAAGTTAGCTATAGTTGTGCTAAAAACATTGACCAATGTATAATCACAGAACATTATACTAAACAAGCACATATCCAATCTAGAAGAGAAATATAACCCCACAATTAAAGAATGCAATTGCCAAAAAAAACAGACCTGCCCACTGAACGGCCAGAGCATGCCTAAAGGTATATTTATAGAGCTAGCATCAAACATGATAACAAGGTCAAATTCTATTTTGGTTCAACTGAAAACCATTGGAAATCACGTTTTTTCCATCACTAAATTACATTAGGCAATATTAAATATAGTAAGAGCACTACCCTCTCTAAATTTTTCTGGAAAATAAAAAGTGGCAATGGAAACATAACAATTACATCGGATTACGTAGCAAAAGCCAATAAATGTAATTTGTCTTTTAGAAAAATTTATCATTCTAAAACATATAGATAACCCTAATTTGTTAAACAAAAGAAAAGAGTTAATGACCACATGCATACATAGAAATAAATACCTGCACAAGCATGTTGACCCAGATTAATATAATTGTGACACTTTAAGGGGGTTGAAAGGATAGCTATACCGAGAGAGATGTGATAATTTAAGTGTTGAAAGATAGATTGATAAAAATACCGAGAGTAGAGACAAGATTTTAGTAAATTCAGTGGGTTTGTTTGTTTTTTTTCTCCCTTGGATAAAGGAAGAAGGGAAGGACAGAAACATTTGATTTTCCTACAAAAAAACTATATGGCCGAAGTTGACAACTGACTATGAAATGGAAACACTATTGTTTTTAAAATCCAGAGTATGGAATTATCTGCTAGCCAAAACCCAATAAGGAAAAGCTGGTTGAGATAAAATTAATGTTCTGGAAACAAAAAGTTAAAAAATTGTTTTTCTTTCCTTATCACTTGTCAAAAGACGAGGAGAGAGGTTGTGTAAAAGCCAAAATGGAGACACTATTGTTTTTAAAATCCAGGTTATGGAATTATCTGCTGGCCATAACCCATTAAGGAAAATCGGTAGAGAGGGGATATTTAGGGGGTTTTTTGAGGACAAAGGCAAAGTTGAAGAATTGTTTTTTTTTTTATCACTTGTCAAAAAGGGAAGGGAAAGTGTTAATCATTAAAGCGGTGAAATTTCTTTAGATAAGGGCCAAGATGCCACAAGAGGAGACTGTTGAGGAAGCAGCTAGTGAGTGTTCAATTGGGAGTCAAGGAACTCCATTGACAAAAATTTTGAATGTTAATTAAAATTAATGATTGGAGTGAAGCCATGACTGCTCACCCAAGTAGTCTAGGGATCAGATTGGTCGAAGTGACAACCAAAGGAAGCAAAGGAATTGCCTACACCCCTTGGGCAATATTGGTATGAGGCACCAATATGAGAAGGAAGGAGTTAGGGTGGATCAATATTCTGCTACCACTACTCAGGAGGCGGGGCCTCTTCAAAATTGGGTATGCAATTAATTTCCCAGAATCAAACAAAGAATTTTGTGGAAATTAGGCGAATCACCAAAATCCCAGACCACGTCACACACCATGCCAGTTTTAAATGAAGGTCTATATAAACAGAAAATTAAAGCAACAACACAGAGAACCTACCAGACGAGAGTGACTGCTTCACATGACTTCCTGCCACTGAAGAAAGACCTCCGACTTTGAGCTATGTTCCATAAGCCTTGTCTAGACTTAGTGGCGCGGAATAAATTGTCACAAAATATTTGAAGGGAAGAGTCAAATAACTTTGCATGACAAATATATTCCTGCATGAAGAGCATATATTTCTACCTGAAGAACTGATACTGTACCATCAGCTCTGTACAAAAAACGGTATATAAAACATTTTCTTTGTTACAATTTATCCTATTGACTTGTGGCTTCACTTTGTTCAGGCACATTTGTATTTGTTCAACACCCACAGTGTCCACTTGTGGTTTATACTGCAAATATACTGAGCAGACCTTAGTTACAGTTTCTGGGAGAGAGTGCATTATCTAGCATGGTCAACTGAACAAAGCCAGAACACTCAAACCCTCAGTCAGTGATGGTTCCCCAAAGATTTCCATCTACCCAATTTTACTCACAAGGCCTGGGCCAACTTGTGATTTGGCTATCAGGCACTTCACAAAGGTGCCACATGCTGGGATCCCCAGACTGATGAAATCATGAAATCACTTTGCTGACAAATCAACCATTGTGAGATTCAAACCTGGTCTCATGGCCAGAAAGCAAATGTTCTAACCACTCTGCCATATGCCTATATATATATATATATATATATATATATATAGATATTTTGATGGCCTTCCTGATGAGATATTCCATTATGGTGGAATACATTCAAGTCAACTTATGCACAATCTTATTGTAAAGGTTTGGAGAGATGGAGAAGTGCCAAAAAATTGGAGGGACACAATGATACCTATATATAAGGGGAAAGGTGTCTGGGAATTATGTGGTAATTATAGAGGGATTGCTCTCCTGTCTTTGGCAGGTAAGATCATAGCTGACAGCATACTGCTCGAGTCACAGCATGTTTCCACCAACAAAGAGGGAGCACAGATATGATTTTCACAGCATGACAAATCCAGGAAAAGAGCTATGAACAACAAATGAAACTTTATCAAATATTTGTTGATCTGAGGAAGACTTTGGACGCTGTTAATCATGCTAGTCTCTGGAAGATCCTCTTGAAATTGGGCAGATTGCAATTGTTTCACACAACCAATGAATGCAGCATTGTGGCAAAGGAGTTTAAGGGCTGGACATGTCAGTGATAGTCATAATTGCTTTGCGACTGAACAACCACCATACATATTATAATTTTTTCATATAGGCAAAAACAATTTACTCACTACAAAGATGCAACCTCATTTTGGTGCATTTAGTTGTACCCTGACTGGTGAGAACCAAAATGGTTATGAACAATTCTCTTGTTCATAAACATTGAGCCCTCTTTTGAATTAATGCTGTGAACATTAGAATTTATATATTTTTGTCTCATTACATTCGAGTAGATATATGATAGTGATCAATTTTCCATTTCAAATTTTCATTAATTCTGTTTCAGGTTTTAGGGAATCCAGGTTTTTGGGGGGTGTTTTTCAGTATAGGATTCTGGTTTTGCTTCATTATAATACTTGAAAGTGAGAAAGTGCAACAATATATAAATGTTATTAAAACAAGAAAAATTTTACTTGCTGGACTATCCACCCATTGGATAAGTTGCTCCAGCTTGATTGTACCTCATATTTCAGCCCTTAATTTAACTTGATGAGTTTCTGGGACAACCCTTGCAAAGAATTCTACAATCCTAAATAAGAAGTGAAAGTGACAAAACCTACAGAAAAGTAGTGCCACAATGTCATCTAGAGACAAATAGCTACATTATCATTTGGTCACTTTATTGAAATTATTAAATAACATTAAAAGAAAAGGTCTAAATATTATTATAATAAAATTTTTTTAAAATACATTAATAAAAATAATCAGTCTTCATCTCTAATGAGAAGGCTTTTTTAATTATCAGTTCTAGTGATTTTCTGTGAATAAAACATACAAGGAAACATTTTTTAGCTCTTATATAAATCACAATTAATGAATGATTTAAAGTAAAATTATTTCAGTGTTTCACAGTTTGTTAAAGTACAATGATTCAAAATAAGCAATTACTCACCTGAATTTTCAGATTGAGATTCTTTATTGAATTCCCTGTAGAAAGAACATAATCAGATAAAAATGTTTATTGGTATCAGGATTTAATAATGTTGTATTAATAGCTGATGAATTATTAAAGTTCCATGTATTTTTTTATTGGTTGAAGATTGAATAAATGAAAAAAATTATAAGAACATCAATAGTATTTGTTAGAAAGAAGAAATATTAATTGAAATGTTCAAATTTAAACAGAATTTGATGAAGAAACAGTACACATGTAGAATCAAAGCAGAGTTAAATTGAAAAACATTTTGCTAAACAAGACACCCAGATAACTTCAAATTTCTTAATTACTGTTGTATATAAGATAAAGCAGTTTGTATATACAAATATCAGTTCAGTTCATTATTTTTGAAAATGCAAAATTTCACTGATAAAAGCAAATACAAAATTCGAATATCATAAATATTCGACTATCATATCCTAAAGTGTTGTGTATGATACACCCTAATTTAAGCTTCAACAATAAATCTCATCCTCGTCGCCATTGTTGAAGATAAATAAGCATGGAATAATACAATCAAAATGTAATGCCCGACAAAATTTATTGAAACAAAGAATAGGTAGACAATATTTACAGTTAGTTTGGTATATTCTTGGGAAGACTGTTCCCTGCATAATGGGTTGACTAAATCGTTAGTCGGGCAGAGTCTCTGGATTCAATTTCTTAATCTCTACTATCTTCCCCGTCTTCCGGTACCAACCCATATTTATATGGTCGGTAGTCCGCTTATGTAAATTAGGTGTATCATACACAACATAAAGTATAAAAAGCTATTGTTTAAAATGAATTATATAGCAAAACTAAACCATATGCAAATTAACCTGGATGCATTATTAAAAGATTGTAAATTTGATTTTAACAAAAATAAGTTGTGTAGAAAAATTAAACAGATACAATTAAGTATGTTTATAGCATCAAGAATACTTACCAGACATCAAGTGTTTCAGCAAAACTAACCCGCTTAGATAGCCGTTTCTTTTTGTTTCTCTCCTCTTGTTTAATCTGAAGATATCACAATTGCATTAGTAACAAATTCACAATGAAAAGAAAGATTTAACATATGAAAACATCATATTTTCACAAATTTACAACACTGGAAATCTGAGTAGGACTAACTTAATAAAAAATAATTAATAGACGTAAAAATTTTCAAGTAAATAGCAGGAGATTAAAATTTCTATAACCTGAATGTTACATCAAAGACTAACAGCAATATCTATTCTTAAACATAACTTTTTTGTTATAATTTTACTACATAAGAACTAATATTTTATAATTTGACATTATGTCAGATTGGCTTTGTCTGTGTGCAGATGATATTGTCAAAAAGCATTTTTATATTGCAAAATTACATTGTTTAAATTTGATAAAAGTTAAAGAAGTTTAACTCAAAAGTAACTGACATTGCTGAGATAAGCATTTTAAGTGTTTGAAGACGACATTTCTCAAAATAAATACACAGTAATAATTTCATTTTATTTGTTTTGAATATCATAATTCAATCAAAACATTCCTATATATGCTTAAAAACTTGTAGAAATTACTAAAAAAATAAATTGTAAATAGAATATCTAATATAAATAACATTTACATTTTTCAAAACAAAATATTTGTAATATTACTGGAATTAGAGTCTATAAAAAAAAAAATAGGGAGATGTTCACATCAACATTTTCAAATGATTTTTTTTAACAAATTAAGTGTCTACAAAGTTATTGTCTAATAAAATTAGTTCACTTAATCCATGGCACCATTTAAATGCCAACTTTTGTTTTTTATATCATCAGAGCTGTATCTTCTGTATGACTGCTCACTTACAAACGTGCTTATTTGCTTAGACCCATTTGTGTTTTCTTCACAACCGCAGAGTCAACCTCTGGCTTATACTGCATCTATGCTGAGTTACAATTTTTAATTGTATGTGTTATCTTTCTCCTAAACTGGTTGCTAACCACGATTAGTCTGCCTTGATATTTAACTCATAGCTGAGAGGAGAAGAGATGGATTCATACCTTTCCCAACTTGACCAGAATTCAAAATTGACTCACAAATTTCTCATTCCAAGCTGCTATTAAACCACTTGCACATGATTTTATATAAGAATATGAAATAGAATTAAAGATGGATTGCAGATAACATATGCAGTAGCTGTAGACAGAAATTTAAAACTGAGAAAGAAAAGAAAGTAGTAAGTATATGCAAGTGACAAAAATTATTTTAAAAAAAATAAATAAATAAAGAGAAAAAAGAAGGATATGAAGATTTATTTTAGTAAGAGAATGAGACACACCTAAATACAATGGATTAATAACAAAAGAAATGAACCTTAAAACTTAGTTTTCAGTTAGTATTCTTACATCCCCACAACTTGGGACAACTAAACAAAAAGTACATAAACATAAATTTACCTGTTTATTGAGGTCAATCCCAGCAAGTGGAAGTTTCAAAATCTAAAATAAAGTCATCAAAATAATAAATCTAAAAAAAGATTATTTTAAACTCTTACTGAATCAAAACCTCATTTTGTTTTAGAATTATAATTTACAATATTTATATAAACAAATGGAAATAGCTTAATATGGTGTCTATCAAAATACATAGCAATACATCCAGAATTTTTTTTTTATATACTTAAGCACTGTTATTTGCAATCATTGTTCAATAATGACATCAAATTTTGAAATTTTTACTGATAAATGTTGCACAAGTTCTGGTTAAAGTTTTATCATTTTGATCTTTAACTTGGCATAATCATTAAGAATCTAACAGTTTTTCAACTATGGTAAATAAGCTGTTAAATCATAATGTGTTTTATCAGCAATACTTTTTAAACAACGCAAAAAAAATGAAAAATGCTTCTAGATAAGTGGTAAGTAAAAATTTAAATTAATGCTATGAATCAAAAATTGAGCCAACCACCATATTGGATAGAAAATGTCAAAAGTTGCATATGCAGTTACTAAACTAAAATTTGCTTATTTTATAATTGAAGATAATTCAAGAACTCTCGCTATAATGATCTTTTATAAATTCTGAGTTATCAGTAAAACCATGAAAGGTATAATGTTAAATTAAAAACAATCATTGACATTTTTTTCACTTACCTCAAGGCATATGTTGAAAGCGTCAATCCATTAATGTCTTTCATGTGAAATAAGGTCACATGCATTCAATTTTATCAGAAAGACAATTTTCAAAGTTTTTTCAGAGAAAAAATAGAAAGTTAGAAGCTGAAATTACATGTTCAGTTTTCATTCATTAGTCACTGACGTTACTTGCAGAATTAACTGAGCAATACAAGATTTTATGGTGGTGGGCATTAATAGGATAATATTGGTTTTTCATTGATACAAAATTCTTGTCAAATACCAATTGATTTCTACCTTGTTAAATCAATTAGTTTAGGTTCCTCCATTAGGTCACGTAAAAAAGCAGCATATCACGATGAAAAAAGACTCATAAATCAACAAAGACAAAGTTTTGTCTCAATACATTGTTATTAATTGAAAGCTAAAGCATTAAATTTATTATTTACAGTAAGTAACATATTCTGGAGTCTTTCAGATAGGAATTATATAGATTGGAATGTCAAATATATGCTCAATTTTTGTTTAATTTTCTTACATTTTCTTAAATTTTAAGAAATTTGTAAACAAACAAAATTTTGATTTTAAACTTCTTCCTAAATTTATATATTTTTGCCACGTTATTTGAGTAAAATTAGAAAATTTAGAGTTAAATTAATCTGACATAAAACAAACGGTACTTACTTATAGTATAAATATTTGTATCCAAACATTTCTTAACGATGTGTCTGAATTTATCAAAGAAATCAATTGTGATGAGGTGATGACAGATTACTATGGATGATCAAAATTGACAATTTTGCAAAAGTGTTTAACATGATTTTTTTCGTTTAACTAGTACTTTTTAAATATTAACATTTTTATTCAGCAATTATGTAATATCTATTTTTTATTTCATACTTTCTTAGTTAGATAATAGTTTAAAGTTTTTTATTTAGATAATTGTTTAAAATTTTTAAAGGATTATGTCATGTATATATTTCCATACATAGAAATTATGAACGTTTTTTTCAATAAAAATTATTTTAAAAATACTTTGGGTTAAACGACTTATGTGCCTTTCAAATTTCGATTCACAAATTTACTTTTTCATTAACATTATCATTGCATTACATGCTTGAAAGAAATAAAGAATTTTAAACGATTTTTGAAGTATTAAGAAGTTAATGAAAAAAAATTTTTAAAATGGGGAAAAAAATTTGTAAAAAATACATTGTGAAAAAATTTTATTTCCTCACAAAATAACGTATTTACAAAAACAGGTGAAAGCTTTTCTAATTAATTAATGTCATACTTTTTTACATTTTTTTTTATAATTCAAAGCAGATTTTCTATGAAACCGGGTACTGTTTTACAAAAAAAAAACAAAAACTGGTGATTTACTTTCTACAAAGAGTCCTGTTTATAACTAATAAAAAAAATCCCGCGCGTGAAGATTTAATTTCTTGAAATTTCATGAAAATATCTAAGTGGGTGGAAACATGTTAAATAAAAAAAAAAAAAAAAAAAAAAAAAAACTTTTTAACAAGATTTTCTGAAAAAAAAAAAAAAAAATAAAAAATTAAAAAAATTTCAAAAATAATTTCATTCATTATTATTCTGAATAAGTCCTGAAAGTTTCATTAAAATCCGACAATTATTTGATTTTTGCAAGAATTTCCTAATTAATGTGTGTTTTCCTCAGAAAAAGCGCAAAATAAAACAAAACTTTTTTTAGTCTTTTCGCGCTGTTGTAAAAGAAAAAAAAAATAAAAATTTTTAACCAAAATTTTCTATATGCTAGAAAGGAGTAAAAAATTTTAAAAATATGTTAGTCTTTCCTCTTCATAACAACATAAACATATTGAGACAAAATTTTGTTTCCGTTGATTTATGGACCTTTATTCAACGTTATATGCTGCTTTTATTAAGTGACCTAATGGAGGAACCTAAATTAGTTTAATGAGATAATCCAAAATGTCTAACTCAGGACAACAGTAAACTTTAACAGAAACTGAATTTTTTGGTTTTTACAACTTTACAATAAGGTTTGCCAAGTAACAAAGAGGAATCTGAGAAAATCTTTTGTACTTACTGACGACCTCCTTTGTCTGACATAGCACCTACAGTTAAAAGAAAAAGCAATCAATATGCAAAAATAATTCTTAGAGAGAGAAAAATAAAATTTGATCTAAAAATAATTTACTATCCAAGGTAATATTTTGAAATATTAAAAATTTTTTTCTTTTGGTACACTTGAGTTTCAAACCAATGAGGTAGCTGGAATAATAGAAGTGGCTGGGAAAATAAAAGGAGTGGATGGAAAATCTATTAATATTAATTAAAGGGCGAGTATAAATTTTTCTGAATATTTAATAAAAGTGGTGATTGAAAAAAGGATGTTTCAGATTGATTCTTCTTCTTCCAAAATGAATAAATCATGCTGGCCCATGTATTTGAATCTCAAATAAAACCTTTTATTGAACTTACTGGTACATCTGATTTGAACAAAGTTATTTTTGTTTAACTGATTGATTAAAGATTTTTTTTCAACAGGATTCAAAGTTTTTTTTTTTTTTTTTTTATTTTCACTGAACCAAAAAACAACAACAGATATTTAAATTTTTTAGTGTCTTAATTCTTTAATGAACAGAAACAAATTTCTTTCAGGATTGAAGCAAGTTCTTTATTTTTATAATTTTTAAATTGAAACTTGAATGACTGAAGAACAAAAACCATTTCAGAGTTCCTAGAAGAGGTATACTACAAAACACTTTTACAAGAGCAATGAAATCAAAAATAATTATTTCTAAATTGAATAATTTAAAAATATAAACATATCAATAATTACCCTTTATTTTCTTCATCTTCATCCATGGTTTACACCTGTGAACAAAAAATAATTTTATATATTATAATAGTATATTTTATTATAGGATAGAATCAATCAACAAGAGACTTCTATTTAAAATTGTAAATTTACTCAGTTTGAAAGAACAATTCCTGAACTTAAATTTACACTCTTTACTCAATAGATGTTGCTAGAGCATTGATCAAAATCTTTATTAAATTCCATTTTCAACTGCATTCTAATGCAGTTTATATAAGAATCAACAATGAAATAGAATTCTTGGTATGAATTTGCAGAATACTCTAAATTACTAATATAAATGAAATTACCCTTTATCTTCTTACTACTAGTTTTTGTCCTTTTTATGAATAACATACTTTGTTACATTTTTAGATCACACACTTCATATCTGATATCTACAAATAATATTTTTGAAGGAGGAAAAGAATCTAATTCTATACTTGATTTTTGTTAGAAAATCTGACACTCATGCAACATATTGAGAATTAGAGGGAAACAATGAGTAACCTAGATAACAAGCTTGTGTTAACTGGATGGCAGGACAGAGATGGGGAAGGATAAGGAGTGGGGGGTAACACTGCTTAGAGTAGGTACCTCCACAGAAATGCAATACCTAAGGCTTAAAATGAATTTTTAAAAATGAAAATGTTTTCTTGAAACTTTTATATTAGTTTTAATTTTAAGCTAATAAATTAAATTTAATATTTCCAATAAACAAAATACGTTTTCTGTATTTCAAAACTAATTTAAATTGACTGGAAGGAGATTTAGTTTTGAAATTGCTAAAAAAGCTGATTTTAGTGCCATTTTAACCATCTGTCATCACAATGTAATTCCCTTTATTAAAACAAGATTTCAAAAATAAAATTTATAGTCCTAAAGCTTTATTTGTAGAATATTAAGGATTAATTAATCTGATTAGGAAACAAATATTACTTACTTTTAAGTTTAAAACATCACAGAAATGCATTTTTTAACACAGCTGTAGCTGTTTAAGGTATTGATAGGTTGGCAGACATACCTGTAAAAATTACTTGAGGAATATAACATGTGCGCCTTTTTTTTTTTATATATAATTTTCACCTATTCAGTAATTTTAAAAAATTAGGAAAATATTCTCTGTAATCTAATGTTTTATTGAATCTTGGTACTTTGACTTTAAATTTACTAGATTTATTGCTCTTATTTCCTGATAAAATTGCATATTTACAAAATTCAGCACATTTAAAAAAAAATTCAAAATTTTTTAAATATTGGGGGACACTAAATTGTAATAAGCTTTTCCATTTATGATTAGTAAATAAACTTTTTACTTAATAACACTATCAACTAACTGGGACAAATTAAGACTGAATTTTAAAAAATTTAAGACTGTATAATTGTTAAAATTAAAAAAAAAAAAAAAAAATTAAACTAGTCTTGTAAAAAAATTCATTATTCTTTGAAAATCTTTTTAAGACAATAGTCTCCATAATATATTATTCATAAAAGCAATTAAAAGCTTTTTTAATTAAATAATAATGTCTATGTTTTATTACATTTTTTATTTTATGATTTAGAGAGCATATTTTCATTAACTAGGAGTCCTGTTTTACAATATTGATGAAATTCTCAAAGGTGTTCTGCTTTTTAAGCAGGTCAAAAATTAATTTCATAAAATTGGGGAGTAACAGGTGTAAAAAAAAAAAAAAAAAACACCCTAAAGAGCACATTTCTAAAATAATTTTATTCATTTGTGAATAAATCCTGAAAGTTTCATTTTTTAAAATCAGACAATTGATTTTTGCAAGAATTTACAAATCAATGGGTTTTTTTTTTCAACGCAAAAAAAGATGCTACAATTTCTTAATCGTTGCACCCCCACGCCCTGGTAATAAAAACAAAACAAAAAAAAAAAAAAACACATTTTAAATTTTAACCAAAATTTAGAACGTTCTAAAAAAAGGATTAAAAAAAAAAAAAAAAAAAAATTTAATAATAATCAAATTCAAAAAGTACATTAATTTTGGTCTTTCCTTTTAAATTCTTTTTTTTTTTTTTCGATAAAACTTTAAGTTTCGGACATTTTTTCATCATGATATGCTAAATTCTTTATCGAATCAGTGGAAGTACCTAGCTTTTTAGAGTTACAAAGTTGTTCCTGAAGGAACACATAAAAAAAATTAAGAAGTAAAGAATAATTCTAGTCTCTCAGTCAAATCCTTTCTTGGACGCTCGTTTTTTTTTTTTTTGTTTTGTTTTTACAGTATCCAACGAAATTTGATTTTTTTTTAAAGATAATTATGTAAAATGCGCAATAAATAGTAAATTGAATTGAAAAATCCAGATATGGTAAAGAAAGATGAATGTATTGTAAAACTTTCTGTAACAATATTTGCTGGAATATTTACGCCATTTCTCTTTAATTACATGCTTTTCATCGCTTGCTGCCTACAGTTGGTCTGAATAATAGTACTTGCTCGAATAGCAATCTCAGCATAAACATCATCACTTTGGATAAAGACTGGCTTTACGACGATTAGTGATGGATTATTTACTCCGGCATTCCATATTGTTGTCATTATCATCCACTTCGGTACTGTAGTTTACAAGATAGAACATGTCATGGATGAATTCCATCATTTAAATTAAAATCTGATTCATAATGACTTTTCCGAATTGATTTCAAGTATTTGTTAGTTAAGGAAAAGTTAATTTTTTTTTTTTAAATGCATACTTTTTTTATAACTATTTTTTAAAATGATGAAAACAAAATGTCTTAGTTAATTTCAGGAATTTTTTAAGGAAATAAATTTTAGTCAATAACAAAAAAAGTTCGTTAAAAAAATAAATCAGTTTTTTTTTTTATCGGATAAACAATGGAGAACAAAACTAATTTTTAAACATCGTAACTATTTTTATTTAAAACTACGATCATGAAATAAATTTAAATGATATTTGTTTTTAGTTATTGTTCTCTTTTTAGCCAAAGAAAAAAAATGTTAAATTGTATTTTTTAAACACTTTTTTTATCTTTTAGAAAAAAAATGTAGGTTACAAACAATTATTTTATCACATTAAAGAATAAAAAGAAATGGATTTTTTTTACAATATCCCCTCCCAAATAACGAAAATGTTTCCGTAGTCAATTAAAAAATAAAAATAATTCTTTATTAAACTTGGAGATTTGTCACTTTTATTTATTATTTAAATAAATCTCTCTTCTCTCGTGTCTAACAAATAAGCAAACAAAATCATTATCATCATTCAAACAACGAATGATTTCTTTTAAAAAAAAAAGAAGCAGCAAGAACACAGATTAAAAATACTCACACACTAGAATAAAATCCAGCAAATTTTCTTGAATGTTTGTCACGAATTCCAACAAAAAGACAAGAATTTTCACGGGCAGCCGTTTGAATCAACCGCCATTCGTTGATACGCATGCGCAAAGCCGACCGGATGTTGCAATTTTTCAGCAGCGACTTGACCTGAAACAAATCTGGCAAGTGAACGAATAGGTTTCATACACATATCTAAAATTTGCTATCTGTAGAAATCCTGAATAAAGTAATAGTGTCCCCACGGACTTTTCTAGAATTGATAAAAAAAACTATTCATTTCAATTTATTTAATTTTACCTATCGAAAATTTAATTTATATATCAAAATAAAATAAAATTATTGATCGTAAAATAAATCGAAACACTTCTTTTCTTTTTAAATGTTTTAAGGGGTAACAAACTATTCAAAAATTTGCAATGTCAGATACATTATTCATTATTTGCATAAAGCAAAACATAAAATGAAATTCGTGTGTTGTATATTTCAGCATTTCAAACAGTTGCATATATCAAATGCTGATTTATTTCCCTTACGTACCAAATAGATTTCTTAAATTTCTCATATTCTGAACTGTCATTTTGTTATGAAAAAAAAATTATGCGTTCGAAATAAAACGAAAAATATCTTTCAAAATGCAATTGTATTTCAACTATTTTTCCATAAGTAAAAACTCAATTCAACAATCAATAAATCTCGGAATGATTTATAAAACAAAAATAAATAGGATTTTTTTTTTATTTAAATCACAGTTTTGATTTCCAAACTCTGGTTATGTTCTTTCAGTTTCATCAAACAAACCCAAATTGTTGTTCTCATTTCCACAAATAAGAGGAAACAAATGTAAAGAAAGAATGTACTTTAATATTGACGTTCGTTGAACTTGAAAGAAATTATATTGTATTTCGCTATTTTTCGTTTTATTTCAAATGCATTTCTTTTCGTACCCTAAAGTGGGTTTAAATGAGATGGTTAAAAATTACATGTGGTCGGAGTATATCGCTTGAAACGCTGAACTGAACAATAATATCCAGTTATTTTTATTTTATTTTATTTTTTTAAATACCCCCTATATTTTAATTTTTACGTTTGTAGGACAGGACCCCAATGTTATTGTTTTCCCAATCACTACAATCTTAACCTCTTCAAATTTTGGGTTAATTGTGCATGTTTTTTAAACTGCACTTCTTACCCCACACAACATCATTTCAGTGACTATCTACTTTGCGTGGCTTTTGCTTGAGCCTTGTATTGAATTAACATTTAGTAAAAAAAGATATAAAATATCGAAAAAAATTGAAAATACGTCTTTGTTTTTAATTCGATATTTAATGAGTCATTATGCATGTATATTGTAATCTGATCTAGACAACCTTGTAATGATCATCATCATCATCACACATACATACATACTTACGCAAATTCAAATTAAACAACAACAAGCATTCATTGGATAATAAATCAACACTACTGTGTAATGGACAATTTATAAATCGCAGCTATGCGACAATTTTATAATCGCTTTATTTTCATGTAGTCGATTTTGTGCACTTTTGGGAGAATCGGATCCCAAGAACCTTCTCAGCTTAGTAAATATTTTCAGGAAAAATCTGCTTCTAATTGGTCAACAAACACACACGTGGTCGTTGCAATCCACCCACACACAATATATTTTTCCAGCGCGT